CTGTTTTTATTCAGGGCAGTTATAGATAGATCAGTTAATTACTGAAATATATGATGCGTCTGTAGTGGATTGCCTCGATTGAGTGTTGAATACTACAGAACTGGTTCGACAGTTTTGAAGTTAAATGCAATGGTTGAAGCTTTTTGTTGTAGATTAGTAGATAACGCTTGAAGCTTGATGCTTGAAGCGATAAGTACTGATTTCGAGTGTGAATATTAATAATAGTGAGGTTGGTTGTTATAAATTTAGAAGTTAATAATTACTTTATATGTAATCGTTGGTTAATAAATTCATTCATTCTAATCATCAACTGATTGTATCGCGAACATTCTCAAACTTATTCTTATGTTCATTTTAACAGTGTTTTGGTTATGGAGTAGAGAGAGACATCATCTCTTAGTTAGAATTGCTGTATAGACGTTAATTATTTTCTCAAACTAAACATTAAGCATTATTAGCAGAGGAGGGGGCGTAGTGAACATCAGCTTCCAAATACTAGTGCACCCGGTTGATGAGCCCCAAATAGGACAAAATGTGCATCCTGGATTCCAATGCTAGCCACTGTCCACCTCTGCTAATAACGCTTGTTACCTAATGGTAATATCAAGAGATGTGCAAGATGTACACACAATTGCAATCTTGCACATCAATCAATACAAATGAATGAAACATTTCATCATCGAATATCCTCATATCTTACTGTGCTATGATTAATTCACCATGTTAAAAGTATGTCAACAAACAATTAATGTGTCTTTTACATAAATCAAGTTTAATTTTCCATGGTTTGAATGTAGTAGAGTGGAGCATAAAACTTGGCCAACCAATTAGAAAATTATCCACTAATCACTCAGTGGATGGACAAAAAATTTTTTATGAGCGATAAATTATTGAATCGTGACTAAAAATATCACACACACACACTTTTAATTGTTCTCTTGACAGGCGCTGATCTCAGTTATTGTCTATTTTTGTCTACGTAACACTAAAGATGACTGGTTAAAATACCATAGTAACACAATCGGTTTTGTTGTTTTTATTCATTGATAAATAAGGATGGGCGCATAATAATATCATTGAAATTAAGTTTGGATAATTGTTGATATGCCATAGTAGTATTTATTATTAACTAAGACGTAATGTTCAATGTTTCAATGTCTCACTTGTTATATATTTATATATTTGCACTAAAAAGTTTACAATCTAGGTTATTATGATTATTTATCCTCAGTAGGAATATGAAGTAATGTTCACTGATATATTATATATTAATCTGATAGACAGACAGCAAAAACAAATTCATACAACAACCTATTAATCATTGAATATTGAATAAGCATCAGTTCAATTGACAATTTAAAAGATCAGTTGACTACGCAACAGATTATATACTGTCTTTGAATTTTATTTCTTGTAATGTTATTTGTCTTATATGGTGTTTATCATTTCCAGTTGTCTCATTATTGAAGTTTAAATAAATCATTATTTGAAATGCAGTGTTTACAAAACAGACATTTTTATTGACGTAATTTCGTCTGTTGTTCGATTTTAGATATCTTCTTCAATTATCTTTAAAATAGCTTTATTTTCATACAACTTTTCAAGGAATAATCCTCTTCTAGAGAAATGTGTCATCCCCCTTAGACTATATGGATAATGCAGTTGTTTTGGGTAGAAATACCTGAAAAACGAGAAATGTTCTGTATGCCTTCAGTAACAATGAATTAGGATTGGTTGGTACCATCGGGATTCAAGCAGAGTGTTGACCATTTCAATTATCTTGATAATTTTATCATTCCCAACGGATGGACTGTTGATGAGATGGTTGGTACCAAGCATAGAAAGGCTTATTTGCTTTCTGCTAACTTGCATCAACTGTTAAGCTTGAAAGATGGCTTTCTCTCCTTAACAGGTCCAAAATACTCTAAAACAGTCCTATTCTTATTAACTGATCTCTGCATTACATGGATTATAAACGTAAGAATTATACAGAATTTGCAGGTACTTAAAATCATTGACACATTCTAAATATTATTCTAGTATATAAAACCTCATAGATGGAACGGTTTCGGCCGTTTTGCAATACAAATGAAATAACAGAATGCCCATCAAAGATTAAATTGAGGAAAATTTCCTAAAGTACAATAGAGCAAGACATCGTTTTAATTTTAACTCATGTAGATTGTGAGATAAGAAAGAACATGTTGCAGTTGGAGGAAGACCTTAGGCAAAATCACTGAACAGATTTCAATGACGATACTGCATTCGATTTTATTCTGTCTCTGAATATTTTAACTCAATGTTACTCCATACTTTTTATGTATTAACCTTACTCATTGTTTAGTCTACTACCTTCATTGTTGGTATTGAAATTATAAACTTTATTTTTATCCCTTTGTACAGTTCAATCTGTGTGATAGAATTTCGCGGAAGTGTAATTTAACTTTGAAATTCGCGCATTACTTTGGTGGCGTCGAAAATTCTCATTGACTGTGAAAGAGATTTTTATTGTAAGTTGATATCTTCGAAACTAAAAACAAACAGTACTTATCAATAAGGTTGGAGAAAGTGTTGAAAAGCCTCCATAATTTATCTAGCCAATACAATTATAACCGATTGTGCAACCCTTAGCTTCGATTCCATTACTGACTTTCAGATTTTTATCATTTTAAGAAACATGGTTGAACTATTTATTTTACGGCAAATTAAATGCTAGCTAGGAGAATCTAAAATATGCTGACTAGTCAGACAGTTGATCTACGTAATGTCAAGTTAGTACATTCAGAGTCTTTCGAGGTGAAGACCGGTGTCAGGCAAGGTTGCTTACTCTCACCCTTTCTCTTTCTCCAGGTGATCGACTGAATTATGAAAACGTCAACATCTGGAGGGAAGCACGGTATCAACTGGACAGTTAGGACGCAGCTGGACTATCTGGACTTCGCAGATGACCTGGCTCTTCTATCGCACATGCAACAACAATTGCAAGAGAAGAGGACCAGTGTAGCAGCAGTAGGTCTCAACATACATAAAGGAAAAACCAAAATACTCCGATGCAACACAACATGCACCAACCAAATCACATTTGTTGGAGATGCCTTGGAGGACGTTAACACCTTTATATATCTGGGCAGCATCATTGACGAGAAAGGTGGATCCGATGCAGGTGTGAGGGCGCGAATTGGCAAAACAAGGGCTGCATTTCTACTGTTGAAAAATATCTGGAACTCCAAACAACTTTCAACCAAAACGAAAATTAGGATTTCCAATACAAATGTGAAGACAGTTCTACTGTATGGAGCGGAAAGTTGGAGAACTAACAAAGCAATAATCCAAAGATACAAGTGTTTATTAACAGCTGCCTACGCAAAATACTTCGTATTCGTTGGTCAGACACTATCAGCAACAACGAACTGTGGAGAGAACAAACGAGATTCCAGTGGAGGTGGAAATCAGGAAGAAGCGGTGGAAATGGATAGGACACACACTACGAAAAGCACCTAACTACACTACAAGTCCTCACATGGAATCCGAAAGGCAAAACGAAAAGAGGAAGGCTAAGAAACACATTACGCCGAGAAGTAGAGAAAGATATGAGAAGAATGAACCAAAATTGGACAGAACTGGAGAGAGAAGCCTAGGACAGAGTTGGTTGGCGAAAACTGGTGTGCGCCCTATGCTCCATTGGGGGTAGCAGGCGAAAGTAAGTAAGTAAGTTAGTCCATTGTAATTCTGTTATATTTTAGAAATACTGCATCGTTTCCGCTTGAAGAAATCATTGTACAATTGTTTAGTTTAGGTGTCTGTCCAATTCACTGTGACAAAATCCAACATACAATTTCAGATAGTTTCAGTATTTCCTCATTATTCAACTATTTTTTGGCAGCGTTGTGTTCTCTGAGTTAGATTACAGAAGTTTCATCTTTATTCTGCTTGACATCTCTAACGCTTACTTCTAGAAAAAGAACTTTCCAGTTATTCTACAAGTATGATATAATTTTATTCGCAAACCCTTGTTGGCAATTAGTTGCTTTCGTAGGTTTTTCCATGTTCATCTATATTGACAGTCACATTCCATTATCTTTTCCGTCTGACGTCCAATCTTGTCGCTGGTTAACCTCGTCCATATGGGTTTATAAATTAGGTCTATGTAAAAACGTTCGTTAGGTGAAAATTGATTTGAACTCCAATACTTTTAGAAATTTTCTGGTATTCTTGGAGTTTCTCCATTCAGAACTTTCACAGTTATATGTTCAAATCAAACTGACAAGTGACTTGTAATAGTTGCAATTAATAGTCAACTCAATTGACACTTTAGTTTAAAATTCAGTATTCAATTTTGGCTAAACCTTAAATTCTCGTTTGTTACCAAAATACTTTGACTAATAAATTGAGATTAATAAACTGTGTTTATTTTGAAATTCAATAAGAATTTTGATTATTACATTATTTGAAACTTTGAAACGCCAATTTCTCTAGATTTGATATGTATTTTCATTTACTACTATGCTCAATATGTCAATGACCTGTGTTCATTAAGAAGTGTTGGGATATGATTTTCCGACCCCTTCCTTATTAAAAACATACTGAGGTGTGAATAACAAAATGATTTATAGCATCTTCATTGGTTGACTAAGTAAAAACAAAAAAGTCATAACGCTTTATCTGACCAATCAACTGTGCAAATATTTTATTGCTAAAGTACTTAACAATATGAATAATTCCGATTGGTCAGTTGGAAAATAACATGAAAGAAAGAGGAAAAGGTATGTTGATTGATGTATGTGACTAGGAAACTTATGACAAGTTCGTTCCAAAAATATTTAAATATTTCATATACTACATTTTTATCTAATTAATACTGATACTCACATATCACACATTGATTAACTCTCCTCAACTATGGTTTTCATGTAATCAAGAAACTCCTGATACTAATACCTTTTCATAATACTTTCTATAAATAATAGTGATAATTTAGTCGATTCATAGAGAGTTTTGCCATGAATCGTACAAGATTTTTAACTACATATGATGAATCACAGAATAATTTAGAAAATTATTTGACTGATAATAGTAATAATAATAATAATAATAATCACAATACATATATTCCACCATTTGATCTATGCTCTCGTCCAGTCCCAATAAATTTTCATACTTTCAATAATTACCAATCCACTGAGCAGATGGGTTTTGAAACAAATCCACTGAATGCAAAGCCTATCAACAATCAATTTCCAGACTATTCTCATACATTATTCAATAAACATGTTCATAGTCATGCGATGAATACTAGTGGTAACAATGACTGTGTTTACAATGAATTACACAATTCACAAATAAAATCTAATTTATTCGATGCAGGATTAAATTTAACTACATATTTAACTTCGAATGGTTATCAACAACAAGGATTAGCTAAATCTACAATTGGAATTCATTCTTATTTACAAGCCAATAACAATAATGATATGCTTAATGCTGATGTGAAATGTGATTTAGAAATATCGAATTCTCATTTGAAATATCATCCCCTTTGTGTTCCACATCCTTCGGAACATTTTAATGCTTTGAAGAAATTTAACGAGACTGCAATCAATTCAGCTGAAAACAATCAATCGTTGACAACACATTTGCCGACAAACTATCGATTCCCGGTATATCCAATTAATCATCCAGTAAGAAATAATTTCACCCTATCGAATTCAACATCAAATCATACATTATTCAATGATATCTCCTCTTTTATTTATGACAATCAATTATCCTCCATTAATCAGACACTTTGTTATCAACGCAATTTACACTTGAAACAACAACAGTCACAATCACAATCACAACAAGAGAATACCATAAAAGAATCACAAACTCAACAAAAACCAACGAAACGAAGTGATTCAAATAAGCTTTCATCAACTACAAATCAATCAGAGGTGAATAATGCACAAGATAGTTCAGTAAAACCACCATATTCTTATATTGCGTTGATAGCAATGGCTATTTCATCTCAGTATGATGGGAAAGCAACATTGAATGGAATTTATCGTTATATTATGGATAAGTGAGTTGATTTGTTGCATAATTTCAAACATCGTCAAAGCTTTTTTTGTTTTTCTCCTGGTTAGAACTTTGTGAGAGTTTTTTATTTCGTTTGATATGTGTGTTTTATCAGATAACAAGCGTTTTGATAACAATTTTTATAGACCGATTTTGGCAGAGCCTACTGACACATTCTTTTCACCTCACTGATGTGCACCCAGCTTCGCCGCATCAATCAAGCATATCACCTTTAAGATTTGTTACTTGATCAATTCACGCACGATATTGCATGACTTCACTGATATGACATAACTTCATTAACCAAAGAATCAAAGTGAACTTTAGTAAGTAGTATTTTGAAATCAACTTATTAGAGAGCGAAACGTTTTTTTGGCGGTGACCACAATAAGCAGAATAGACAGTAAGGTTTAAAAAATTCATCCATGTCTCAAGGATAAGTGTTGAGCACAGTCAGTCAGTCAGTCAGTCAGATGCAAAGTAGAACTTCGTACGTACGTACCACATCAGCACAGAGATATAATTGTCAATTCAAATCCATTAGTAGAAGAGGTAGTAAAGGTATTAGAAGTAATCGGAAAGGTTAGGATGAGAAGATATTATTCAAGAAATATGATTCAGTGAGAAAAGTTTAGAAAGTCAAAACTAGGGGGATTGAAGAATCCAGAAGATTAGGATTTGAGAGAACACAGAGAATAAATGCACCGGCGCCATTGCGAACGACTTTGAGCCATGTCATTCAGGGTCTCTAACCAAAGATTATTATCATCTCGTGGACCCCAACCAGGTAGTCGATAACTACCAACATGACTCAGTCCACTTGTCAGTGACTTCATGGATTTGTGCCATGTTTTGGTTTGGCCGCCCCTAACTTTCTTCCAACCTATTCCTACACTACAAAATAAAGCTCTTCGAGGCAGTCGGTGGTTGAGCACAGTATTGCAAATGAAAGTTTCACTTGTAGACAGATTAACTGAAGAATTATCGGAAATTCATATATCATAACAAGCACTATACTGTTCATTTTTTCTAATCGGGACACGGTGCTTTACATTTCTTCCAAAGTCAGTAAATTTCAGACGAAACACTTTCGTTTTTGATGGGTAAAACAGTTAATTCCTTATCATCCGATCATTCAACAGTCAGCATATATAATTTTTTTATCTACCTAAATATTGTCTACAAGACCTAGAAAGTAAGTGTCAAAATCTTGGGCTACATCATGAATAACAATTACTGAGTCACATATTACTGACTGTTCAGTACCCCCTCTCAACTCTAGTGACGGACAAGTTAACGCCTCTTCATGCATCAAGTTATTTTCTAAAAAAAAACGAAATTTTAATTAGTTAAGTTCCATTTATCATTACGACAGAGTTGTAGAGACTGTTGACGGTTGTGATTTGAAATCACAGACTCGCTGTGATTGGACAATTAATGAAAATCAGGAAGTGTTGTACAAATCATTAACTCTACCATAGGACTCCTCAATACTGTGTTTCTATAATCCCATCTAGATCAAAACCTGAGACCTATGGTGATCTATGGCGATCACTTGACCTTCAAGTAAATGTATCTATCTCTTGTGAAAGTATCAGGATGCTTATCGGATTGAAAATGTAGTAGAACACCGATGATATCAGTTTTGTAGAATTAATTTCATTATGAATGGGTGGTAGTTGAAAGATTATAGAATTCAGTGAACCCATTATACAAGTGTTATTGCCTTCAGTTTAAGAGATCAAAATTTGGTGTATAACTTAACAGTGATGACATTCTGTCAGTGAAATGTTGAGTGTTCATTAATAAAGAGGATAGTGTTACTGAGTATTTGCTTGTTTCTACAATATTATTGTGGTGCGAGCTACTTATAAGTAGTATATGACACGAGTGTAAACGTAATGTCTGGTAGCAGAAGATGGGGGAAGATCAACAAAGGAGGAGTGGGAACACAATGGAATTTGTATGAAACGCATGAGCTGTGAAATGTCAGACAATGGATTGATGATGGATTGATGTTTTGCAAATTAACGGCTTACGATATGGTTTTCCTATTTTACTGAGTAACTCTGTAATTTTCGATAGATACAATCAAGTTGCCCCTTCTGTGTTCTCTTTCACTACATTATGTCAAATGCATAATCAAATTTATTTGAACATTCGGTAATTTAATTAATAAGAACGATAATAATGAAATAATTTTTTTGAATTATTATTTATCTACATACTGACTAGTGAGCAGATAGATAGAACATTTGAAATTAAAATAGACAGGATTATTTTACTATTACAAATCATATCACGAACATTTTTACACATTTGGAATCATCAATCAACCATTGTTAGACCAACATTAAAAACCTGAAAGCACTGAAAAACGGCCGTTTCGTCCTGGTATGGGACTCATCAGTGACAGTGCACATCCACGACTCCTGCACCTCGCAGGAGTCGAACCCGGGACTTTCGGTATTGTGCGCGAACGCCTAACCATCGGACCACTGGGGCGGCATCCAACGGTGTTAATGTCTAACTCTGATTAATCTACGGAATTTTGCGCAACCTCACACATTTTGTGTACTACAGGTAACAAAAATAATAATAATAGCTTTGTGTTTATTTGGCCCTAAGGAGTTCCTCGATCTAAATGCAATACGATACTATCATCTGAAATAGTGACATCCGTACCAAATGTTCAGTGCTAACTATCAGTACACTAAAACCCTTCACACTCTATTGATGCTCTTTTCGAAATGTGACACTATTTAAATAATATACATATATACACATAAGCTCTTTTTTTCTTCTGAAACAATTTATTCTCTCTCTCCAGTGAATGATTGACACACATATGGAAATGATGGAATTTCTTAGACTGTGTGTGTGTGTGAGTGAATGAGTCATTTACACACCTGTGGTGTATAATCCTCATCAGCTTAGCAACACATATCATCATCTATTTGTCATGTAAGAACTTATTATTATTTTTTTAGTTCAATATGGTAACAACTGGTGAAAAATGGAAATAAATGGGATCTGTGTAATTTTAGTTGGCAGCTCTAGGGAATATATATATATTATATCCCCTGTGTAGAGTTCACCCGTTAATTCGTTTGCTTTTTTACTTCTTCCCATTAAATCAATGAATGCAATCACTGTTTATGTGTGTGTGTGTGCACAATCGATACGTTAACTAGTTCTGATTAAGAAAAAAAAAGAAACTGATCGAATGAAGGAAGGAAAAGACACCAAAGTGAACTAATGTCTACTACTGATAGTTGGTGAAAATAAAAATCACTATTATTTAAAGTGATCAACATACTGAATCAAATACTTATGTTGAAGACAAATATTAGTGAATATAATTAAGTGGCATACATTTGCCAGTATGCATTGAATTGAATAAAAAAATTCTCCTAAAGGAATTTGTTACAGCTCCGTCATTTTCAAATTAGTAACTGATGTCAAATCTTATTCAAATGATAAATAATGCTGAAAGTAGTAGAGATTTGAATTTTACTCTCCTCCTCCTCCACCCCCCCCCCGGTGAATTCATTTGGCAAACGATATACAAGAATTAAATAGAAATTCATTACAAGTGACTGCAGTTTATGGTGACCGATGTTTATTGGTCGACTGTAACACTAAATTAATGTGCATAAAATCATTTCATTTTAATTATGATGGATTGACACTTATGAAAGGAGAATACTTTTATCCTGAGTATTGGATGAAGTGAGAAACTTCGTGTGACAGGAAGGATAAGAAGCAACTAGCTAACCTTGAAGCAGTATGATTAATTTCACAGTAACCGACAACTTGAGGCACAGATTTATGACTACTTAGATATTAGTTGAAGAGTATTAGCACTGCATGGTGTTTTGAAGATGAACCATTAAGAGAGAGAGGAAGAAACCCACTTGAAGTTCGAATTTAGTCTTTTTAACGGAAGGAGTGATTCTTTAAAACATGGGATCTAACTAATATGACTTTCGATCATAGAAACCAGTTCAAAAATCATCAATTAGATGAATTTGATAATGATTGGATCACCCTCCTGATTATTGTTTGGTTTTATGCTTAATGAAGGATTGAAATTGTCATTTGTATTAAAACTGTCCAATCAGAATAGTATGATTGATATAAGCAGATAGGGGTTGGTGCGTATTCCGTCCCATCTGGGACTCACCAGCTGGTTGCACCTGCATCCCAGGGTTGATGTTCACTCCGCGACTCAAGCCTCGTAACCCTATCATGTCATCCTTTTAGCCACCATTAAATTACAGACATTCTGAACAGAAACTTGTGACTTGACGGCAATATGGAGACGATTCGCTCAGGTTATATATACGCCAAAAGAAGGTGATCGATGGAAGTGTTAAACGTCATCTCAAATTTCAGAGTTAATAGGTAAAATGGGAAAACCATATAATAAATCGTTAATTTGCAAAATATCAATCCATCATATAGAACTGGACTGTTCCTGTTGCAAACATCAATCCATTGTCTGACATTTCACAGCTCATTCGTTTCATACGAATCCCATTGTCTTCCCGATCTTCCTTACTTGATCTTCCCCCATCTTCTGCTATCAGACATTACGTTTTTACTCGCATCATATACTACTTACAAGTAGCGCGCACCACAAGATAACAAACAATTAAGCAATGATGAATGTCAAGATCACAATGACATCAATAAACTTTTATTTGTTCCTTGTCTTAACACTAAAACATCCCAGCTCCACAGAGTTTAGTAATGAACTGGAATACTAGCTGCTTATCATCGCAGGGTCGTACATGTAGTAAATCGCTGACTAGAAAAAAGCACTTATACACACATTACTCTTTCGTTTTTTACAGTAAGCTTGTTCAAAACTGTCTGTTTTGCAGTTAAAAAATACTGGATCTCTAATTTTCAATATACACAATCACATTACTGCTACTACTAATAATAGTAATGCGAATGATGACACTTTAAATATCACCACAATTTTCGGAGGATCTTAGCGTTTCCGGTGTGTTTGTTTGCTGGTTTCGCATGTTCATTCAACTTTTTTAATACTATTATAGTTTGGAGAGGGAGAGAGAGAGATAGGAAAAAAACACTATCAAGGTTAACACTTTGTTCAAGCACGACAGTAAGTAGGATCTCAATTAAAATAGTGGTCAAATGTCACATTTCTTTTCCCTATTTTTTTTTATGGAGAGAAAAAAAACAACAACAATAATTTTGAAATTTATCAAGATGATTATACATATATATACGACAGGATGTTGACTCATTGAAACAGACAGATCGAGTACTTTTGATTTGTGTGTGTGTGTGTTTTTAGCATTATTATTATTATTAATATTATTATTATTATTATTATTATTATTATTATTTTGAACATCCTTTTAAATTAGCTGTGTAAAGGGATATGGCGATATTTCGAAAATATTCATATTAGTTTATGATATCATAATATGTGATCATTGTAAAGGTTTATCTTTCATCGTTTATTTGAAAGTTTGTGTGAGACAGTGTTAATTTGTGTGTGTGTATATTGTGTGTGTGTATATATGTGTGTGTGTGTCTTAAAAAGGAGGCGTAGATAATTAGACGTAATGATTGCATATGACAGTGTTAATGAGTAAGTATTATTGATAGTTCACGATCTTATAATTGATAATGATGATATGTAATAGATAGGAAATGTTTAGGTAAAAAAAAACACTAGTGGTGTATCTCTTGATTTCTCTAGGCAAAGAAGGGGGGTAGACTAGAATGTGCTTACTTAATGCTTAGTAAATAATAGATTGTAAGTATTTTGCAAAAGATTTACATTTATTCAGTTCAATGAAATAGATTGTCAAATTAAAATCATTCTTGAACACCTTTAAATAGATTAAGTTTTTTCGTGGAATCTGTCTAGTTATTGGCTAAAAATAGACAGTTGTTGGCTGAAGGAACTCGGTTGAATGAAGACTCCGCGTCTAGATGTCATGTGATTTGACAGTTGTCAGCAAGGTATATCTACAATACTAGGGGGACTAAGACTCCCCAGAAGAATTCGAATCCTCAACATTCAACTTCACAACTTCCAAGCTTTCAATGCTTAGACATTATTGGCTATAGATGACCTCTTGTGGGATTGAGATAATCACTACTGATTGACCACTGAGTGTTCTGTTTGTCTAGTCTTTAGTACTGACTAAATTAAATCTGTCAGATGGCAGTGAGGTTGTAGTGTGTCGATTTTGTTGACGTCGGGTTCACCATTTGTGGTGGCCAATTCTGATCACGTCGGGCTCACCATTTTGTAGTGTGTTGATTTACTGCGTGTTCTTAAGCTCGGTTTATAAATTAGAACATGAACTCGTAGTGATGAATACGTTTATTCGGGACACACCACAAAGCGATGGTGAGCCCGACGTGATCAGAATCGGCCACCACAAATGGTGAGCCCGACGTCAACAAAATCGACACAAGGTGGATATTTGGTTTCTGAATCGTAAAATAATATGGAATATGTGTTTATATTTGACAATTTCATTTACTTTTAGTCAATGTCTAATCAATTCTAATTAAAATTGTACAAACTATAACAACAGCTTAGTTTAGGGTAAATTTCAAGTAGGAATCCGCTTTTTAAGAACTTCAATTGCTGTCTTATTTTCTTTAGGTAATCAACAGTCTTGAACCGAAACCCTCTCACCGGACGATCGACATTTCTAGGTTCGATTGCCGATGGAGTCTCGGATGAGCACTGTTAAGTATTCACACATTCAGACAAAGCTTTTGATTTGAAGCTGAATAGCTCAAATGTTATCAATCCTGTATTTGACTCACAGGGAAGGTATGGGTACAAACTACTGATGAGTTAGGAACTGATGTTTAGTTTCACGTATTATATAACGATGTAACTAAAAATAATTTCAAGATAAAATCTATGTTATATATGAACTAATGCAGCGGTTAGCGTCCAAACTCAAGACAGTTTTGGTACCAGAGCGGCGTGCAAAGTTGGGAAAGCGAATAATGAGCGAAACAGTCAGTTGATGACTCAGGCAATCTGAACTGAAATTAGATAGTATATTGTTTTAAACCCACTACACTACTTACTATTCTATTCGATAACAAATATCTGACAGCGACGTTTTATTATTTGTAAATACTATTAGGTTTTTATGCTACATACATGTGATTGAGTAAAAGCCAGGAGGCTGAAAATTATTACTAAATGGTAATATATAGAACTTATTATATTCTGTTAATATTATTTTTATGGTGTTAGTATGAGATTTTTATGAATGTGAGAAATATAGTTCAAAATTTTGAAGTAACGTAAAGAGTTGACAATTTTAGCGAAATCAGATATTTTTTTTATAAAAAATCAATTAACCAATGCAAATGTACTTCTTGTTTCACCATAACTCAAAGCTGATCGACACCATTAATTTTTTTTTGGGCTGACATTGTATTCAGGCGTTTATCCGCGACCTCACCAGGGATGGAACCTAGAACTTATCAGTCTTCTGGCATTGGAGCTTTACCTCTGGACCTCTGAACAGGTATCCAATGGTTTATATGCTCAGCTTCAACCAGTTCTCAATGTTGCACAGATATCTTACACTGTCTTTGAAAGGTAACAAACAACATCGCACGCAATCCACTAGTTATGGTTTCTGTTTTTGGAACTTGGAAAATTTCCTCTCGAAGTTAGTGACTAGTGGACACAGAGTAATTAATTATCAGTTGTCTGATATTCTTGTTCAGCTGTTTATTTGACTGATTTGAACATTGTAACAAATATACAATTTTTGATAATGAATCTAAATGATTCTCCCTTTTTTTCTTCTATTTTGTCATATAGTTATCCTTATTATCGTGAGAATAAACAAGGTTGGCAAAATTCCATTCGACACAATTTAAGTTTAAATGATTGTTTCATTAAAGTGCCAAGAGATGATACAAAACCAGGCAAAGGTTCCTATTGGGCTTTACATCCAGAAGCACATGGTATGTTTGATAATGGTTCGTATTTAAGGCGGAAACGTCGATTTAAAACTGATTTCACATCAACAGAACGTTATTGTAGCATGAAAAAGCGGAGTTTCATTGAAGAGAATTTGATGAATTCAATTAAAAAAAAGAATTTAGCAAAAACTAATTGTAGTGATCCTATTGATGATTCAAGAAACACTCTGGCACTGACTCATGAAACAGACGCAATCAATGACGTCAGCAATTATGATGATGATGATGATGATGACAATGACTATGACAATGAAAGAATCGATTATTCTAATAACAATAGTGACAATGACCTTGCAGATAAGAACAAGAATATTACAAAATTAACAGATTGTCAAATCGCATCGAAATCAAATTATCCACCGAATTCAGCTACATTTCAAACAAACAATGATTTTATGGAAGTGAATATGACTGCGAACACTGTTAGTACAGTTAGTAGTGACACAAGCACTCAACCAATGATCACATCGAATACTGCATATCATCCTTTGTTGAGTTTACAGCGTCAAGTAGTAGTGACACAACCCAATGTGAACAATTATTCTTTCATTAGAATGAACAATTCGGAGGAGGATCATCAATCTTGTCTGAATTTGAACACACCGACAAAATATAAGGATGAATTTCCTCAAGGTCACTGGTATAATTATTATTCCACAGATGTTATATCAAAGCATTCTGATATGATTAAAAGTTTCAATGAATCTTTTCAAAATAATGAGGTTAGTTTGTGTGTTGGAATGTCAAATTGTCATTTATTCGCGATTTATTTAGATGTATATAGATTTATGACCGAACCATTTACAATTTTTTTCAAAGTATCTCATACAAAGAAATATTTTTATTAAATTGACTATTCTAGGCTCCTTTTAGAATGGAAATGGATGTTAATAAGTCATTTCACTGCACTTCATTGATTCTAATGTTTTGAATTTACGTCTATATAAAAGAAATCTCTCAAAAGACTATATTGTTTAAATAATAGCCCACTGAGCAAACAATGAGGTCATTTCTCTCCACACATATATTTCAGTTTTTGTACCTAAATCACACTATTTATTGTTTTAGAATATATGATGACCAGGTCTTTGTATTATAACCAATAGGACGGCATCAAATGTAGTAAGAGCTTTTCATTACGTATTTAAATACATTAGCCTACTACCTGTTTAAGGTTAAAAGGTCGCCGATTAGGAATCTACAACCAATTCTGTCTTGCACTCTTCCGTCCTGTTATTCTCATATCTTATTCATGCTCTTCATGTGTATCACTAATTCCCAGTGTCATCCGTTCTTAAGGTTTCCTCTTTTCCTTTAGCTTTAAGGATTTCAAATTAAGGTTTGACTTGTGATTCAGTTCAATGGTTTCCGCCTTGTATATCCTACTAACCTCCATCGTCCTTTACGAATTCATTCGTTAACTGGGAGCTTGTTTTCTCTTCCTTAGACTATATTGTTGCTGGTGAAACATCTTGCTTCAGGGTTTGTTTATTGGTGCTTGTACTTTTTGAGTAATTCTCTAAGTTCCAGCCCCATAAAATCGAACTGTAACTTTGATGTCTGCTGATAGTTCATTTGAGTTACAGATATTCTTCAATTGTTGGAATATCACATTCGTTTTGGAAGTTCGTTTCTCGATATATGCATTGGAGCCACAGTGATCATCATTCATGTTTCCCGAGTTTGAATAAAATGCTCCCATCTTTTTCGTAGTTTAGCCATCAACTTTGATTTAGTTGGTGCTTCTTGTGTTGATCTGTTTTTCTGTGAATTTTGAAGTTTATTTTTACTAAAGCCATTTCTACGCTCGGTTTTTTCGTTTACATTTATTTCTGTGTATGTAAAAGAAGGGCAAAATCCAAACTATTCAACTGCATCTTATTATACACTGTATTACGCGTCTTTCTGGAGCTTCGATATTGTTATAGTTCAGTCGACTGCTAACAGAAATGGAGAGGTTGGGGGTAGGTGTTCTCGTCTGAGCTACCATCCATGCAAGACCTTGCAACCCATTTCCTCGTGGAAGTTCCATTTGGCCCATCAGAGAGTGGTTTTCTTATTGGCAACTTGTTAGTTCGGTCTACCACCTCTTTGTTGAACCATATAGTTTTTCCATATTTCCTTTTCCTTCTGTAATTTCCTAGCCTTCCATAATTGTGGGGGAGACACTATCACTTATGACCATGCTGAAAATACATAAGTTTGCCAGTCCCCTAACATTCCCATGTTTTTTTTATCTTGGTCCATGTTGCTTCATGTGTTCGTGTCCATTATTTCCTATCCCGACCTTGACGTTTATGTCACCTGTCCGAAGACATTTCTTTAAAATGGAATACAGCCTCATAAAAACTGTTCCTTATGATCTTTACTGCTATCATTGTTGGGTGGGTATGCAGCACTGGATGAAATTCATCATGGTCGTTTCCTTTTTGTTCTGAAGGGTGCTTTGATTATCCCAGTACGCCCAGCTTTATACTTTTTGGACGTTTTCCTAAATTGTTCGGAGAGCATCAATTCCACTTCTTGTGTGTGTATGGGACATTTTCTTTTCCACTACAGGAAAAATAACAACTCGCCTGAAGTTGTTCTTTAGTCCTGTCGGTTTTACTTTATGAATGCAGAGATAGGTTGTATCTTTTCTTCTGTGTAACTATCTGAGTGACCCTCTCAGTCTTTCACATTATTCAGACATCTTAAATCTTCCTGTTTATTACTGCCTTGATTGTTAGAAGGGTCGTTCGTCAAATTCCTTTTGAGGACTCCAATTTCCCTATGAGGAGTTACAGTTCTTTATGAATGCACCTTTATTCCCAGAGAAGAGATTATTCGGCTTTTCTATAATTAGCTTTGCTGTAGCTGTTTTATTACAGGTTAATGTTGATAATCTTACCCCTAAACTCCTTCTAATACCCCTGTTTAGAACCGACAGTAGACCTAAAGGGGCTTTGGGTGAAGTCAATAGCTTGGAGTACTGCATTTATCTTATATATATATATATATATATATATATATATATATATATATATATATATATATATAATCGATATATCAAACATTTGTCATACATTTAACTGAACAAGTTTGCACGATATTACAATAGTGTTGTAATTGAATTTAACAAACTGTGAGCCTACACAATCTTTGTGTTTCTAAAACTTGACAGACTTTTTTTCTAACTTAACAGTATGACGTAACCTAGTCTATGAAATAAGGGAAGTTGACTTTTAACTGTGACAAAAACAGCTAATATTTGCAAATTAAAGAAAAAAAATGTATCATTAGCTCTAGATTAATAAATCACTTATACTAATTATAAAAAGATTTCTCATTGTTCAGCATTGATTTTATCGGTACACAATCATTAAGTGGGAGGACATGTTGGAAAAAGGTATTGTTTCCTGTTATCGAGAAATATTTCTCTCATACTGTTTTTGTGTGTAAATATAACCAGTAACATTTAGCTTGGGCTAAAATGTAATTTAAAATCTGTGACTCATTAGCATCATTACAGATGAGTTATATTAAGTTGAAGTACAGGTTTTGTGTCATTGCCTTTGAGTTATATTGATTGTGTATGGGCTAGTGACATGAAACCGCTGTCTAATCCACATTAGATGGAGTGACAACCTGTTAGTCTTATTCTGAATGGTACTTCAGTAATATGAAGTCAGGGATTACTGGATATGTTTTACTATCCAATGATCTTTCATGTTGAAAAATTTATGAATAATTTAGATTTCAAACAATTATTGCTGTGCAAACAATTAGGTAAAAATTCAATAAGTTTCTGTACTAAAAAAAAAATAGAATAGGATGAACTCAGTACAATCATCAGAGATTTAAGTGACTAGAAGAGAACAACAGTTACAGGTTATTGGCATGATTCATAAAACATCATTTCGTAACAGTTGATTATATGTAGATGAATTGTCACTTCGAAAAGAAGTCATGGCGTGATGATTTACATATGCAAGGTTTGTGATGGAGATTTAAATCCTATTTCATTTTTTTATGATTTAAGTAGCTTCATAAACATGTCTTCATTAAAAAAAAGGAAAAGTCTGATACTTTTGTACGAAAAATACGCTTGTTGGTACTTTTGGCTATCATAAGATAATTCGTCTCGCAAAATGGTTTTGTTTAAAAACGAATAACCATACATATATATACTGCTGATGAGTCCCACACCATGACGAAACGGCTGTCCAGTACTTCCAGGTTTCTAATGGCGGTCTAACAATGATTGATTGATGATTTCAAATGTGTAAAAACACGAATCTCCATAATTCTAATTGAAAATATCAACACTATATATGTCTGAATACATTAAGGATTCCTTATCATAAAATACAAAAGGTACACAGTGAGCACCATCCAACCAGTATTTTCATTCCAAGTAACGAAAATCAAGACTGAGGCTAAACTACACTTTCGTTCGCCCTTATGACCCTGTATATGACAACTAATCAGATTGAGACTGGGATTAGTAATTTCGCCATCGGAATCCACGATGGCCGCCATTTTTCGTTCTCTATGGTTTCTTTCTGCGTAATCAGTGTGACAGTAATCTTTGGTATTTCAGTGTGACGAAATATTATTATTATTTATGGATGACTGGACAGTGTGCAGTGTATCCCCACCCAAAATCAATAACGGTTTGATTTCGCAACAAGGATTAAAGTCTATTCGCCTACAAATGTAAACATTTCCAGTTAGTTTTTTGTTTCAGTACAAATTTATTGCTGAATAGTAAGTACATGTGTTAGATAAGGTATTGTAAAGAATTTGTACATCCAGAATAACTATTTATATTTGCCAAAAAATTATTAATTTATAAATTTTTATACCTTTCTGAAAAATAATTTTCTACTGATGAACTAAACAGTATCTGAAAATAATGAGAGAGAAACAATCATGAAGAGAACATCTATGAATTAATATAAACATTCCAATTACACTTTACATGATTGTCATTCAACCAGTGACAAAAAATCTAAAAGAACGGCAAAATGTAGGAATGCATTTATAGGAAAGTACTTAATTAATTACACCTGTTACTACCCTTAATGAAGCATAGGCCGCCGACTAGATGTAGAAAAGTCCAGGAGCAAAATTTGCAGTCGACAGCAACTATCAGCAGGTTAACAAATTAAAACTGGAATTTAAGAAATTAGGTAGCCTATGGAGTGTGATTAAGCATTGATCATGACAGAGTTATTAAATGACGACAAACTGATTAACAACTTTTTTTATAAGTCGCAAACAATTTTAGTTAGTAAAAAATCTAACACATGAATAATGCTTTCTAATTTCAAAGTAAATTACTACTTGGAAATTGGTCGAGTTCACAGACATCTGTCAAGTGTTACAATGAATGTTTTCGAAAAAAAAAATAAATTGATTGTGAATGTCCATAGTCCCATGTGACATTTGACACTATCCGATTCTGTATTTATTGAACGATACATTTTATAACTTTCTACTTCGGTCACATTTTAAATAGGGTTGTGTATTTCATTTATCCCCATATATATATATATATATATATATATATATATATATATATATATATATATATACAATCACACAAAATCCTTAAGGGGGGCGTTTGTAGTATATCTGTATAAGAATGATGAAAGGGAAGAAAATTGGTTTATTTATTAGCCTGAATCATTTTCCATCTTATAAATATTAAACGATAGGAAAGTAGAAATGAACACAAAACAAATATTTGCTGTATAAATTCTCATGTATCTGTATTTCTTTACATATTTGCTACTGTATACAATGAATGAATGAATGAACTGATTTACTTGTTCAAAAAAACCAGTTTGTTTAATCATTGACAGAAAAATTTCAATTACCCAATTTACTATATATGTATATATATCTGCTTACAAAAGAAACGCATTAGTCGATCTAAATAAAGGATAGAAGCACATTGAATGAAACTTATAAAATACTTTTAGTATACAGAAATATGATCCATTTTTAAGGCAGACAATTCTAATCTCTCACAAAAGAAATTATGTCTTACAAACAAATTCAATGAAAGTGAATGAAGATAAACACCAGATAATTGATTGACTAGGTATAGATTCATGTACTAAGTTTCGAGATAAACCTTAATAGTGATTAACTGATCAGTTGCTTAGGCCGAATTAGGTGGAATGGGATCCAAAATAATTACTTAGTGGCTGTAAGTCGGTGGCTTTAATCACTGAACCAGCGCTTCACAAAAACAAGTGGTAATTTTCGATAGCTAAATTAAAACAAGTAGAAATAATCTAAATCAAACAATTTTGCATTGATTTTGTGTCATTTCAAAATTATTAGTGACTTTCAAAAGGTGCATTATTGATAACAGTTTTATGGTGTTTTAGAATTTATTCTTTAAGTTAGCTGTCAAGTCTATGGTATTCTGATGTATGAGATATATATTTATCTACTTACTTACTTACTTACGCATGTTACCCCCAATGGAGCATAGGCCGCACACCAGTTTTCTGCAACCAACTCTGTCCTAGGCTTCCCTTTCCGGTTCTGTCCAATTTTTGTTCATTCTTCTCATATCTTTCTCTATTTCTCGGCGTACTGTGTTCCTTGGCCTTCCTCTTTTCCTTTTGCCTTTTTGTATGTTGAGACCTACTGCTGCAGAGGCTGCTGCTACACTGGTCGTCTTCTCTTGCACTTGTTGTTGCGTGTGCGATAGAAGAGCCAGGTTATCTGCGATGTCCAGATCGTCCAGCTGCGTCCTAACTGTCCAGTTGATACCGTGCTTAACCTCCAGATGCCGACGTCTTCATAATCCAGTCGATGAGCAGGAGAAAGAGAAAGGGTGAGAGTAAGCAACCTTGCCTCACACCGGTCTTCACCTTGAACGAGTCTGTTAGCTGTCCTCTGTGTACGATTTTACAGTTGAATCCATCGTAAGCATTCCGTATGATGTTGACTATTTTCTCAGGCACACCGTAGTGTCGAAGAAGCCTCCTCAGTGTTTTCCTATCCACGCTATCAAATGCTTTCTCGTAGTCGATGAAGTTGATGTAGATTGGTGCTTTCCATTCAATCGATTGTTTTACAATGATCCGAATCGTAGCAATTTTGTCAGTACAGGTCCTCGTATTCATATGGAATCGTCGTACATCATTGGCTGGTTAGTCGTTAATTACACTACATCTACAGTGATGATAATAAAAGTTATAGGAAATTCATAACTGAGATAGGATCGGAATAGACAGAGTTTCAAGATACAAATCTAGTTCTCTGTCAATCGAATTACAAGCCTAGAGTTTATTAAAAAGAAAACATGTTTTAAGCCTATCATTTTCAAATTCAAATGAAGCTTTTGATTAAATAAGTATTTTATTTTTCCTTCTTTCTAAGCTTGAAAGTTATGCTAGAAATAGTCATCTACAGGAAACGATTAATTCAATTTATACGAACCAGTGTCAATATTATATGTCTACAAATTTACAACAAAATAAAATTAATGATTTATCATCATCATCTATGAATAATCAATTGGACAATGAACAATATAAATCATTTCAAACGTTTAGTACGGCGGGATTGAATACAGAGACATCTTGCAATATAAGTAATAACACTTCCACTAATAATAATAATAATATCAATAACACTAATGATACAAATGAAATTAAGTTGCATGAAAAATTATCACAATGTCCAAAATCCAATCTAGTATCGTTTTGTTCTAAAAGAAATGACTACTTCAATCAACCATCTTGGTTGAAAAGTGAAAATTCGACAACAACGTTGTGGAATAAAATATCAGACGTATGTGTTTCCGAATCAAATACCTCATTTGTAAACAATCAATTATTATCTTGGTCAAAATCACCAGTTAACGAAATTACAGGTCAAAGTACAAATGAACTAAGTCATCATAGTCAACCAGATTATCATCAGGTAATATGTGTTTACAATAAATTTACACGAACTCGAAATAAGATTTGAGATTATTCAAATGCTGTCAGCTAAGACTGCATCACAAATATAACTGTTCACTTATACTGTAAGTCAGTTTCCATCATGAACTGACTTCAGATAGTAGACCATTCATAACTAGGGAGGTCTGCTTCATTTTAGTTCGTCGACCTTATTAGTGATCAAAATAAGGATCCTCTAGTTTTATAAAGAATGTAAGACAAAATCGAATAATCCGAATTTAAAACCTCATTTAAATCGCTAGATCTTAAGGGCTTAATTTCTATCCCTCACAAATCTTCAATTTTGAGAATGAGGCACCTCATCAATGATCCCTATGTTTCCAACCGTTCGTCGGCTGTTGTCAATCCATGACGAGGACTTTCTGAAAACAAACATTGATGGATGGCATCTTTCGTTGTTAGCCTATTTATTTCTTAACATAAAATAAACTTTCAATCAATCAGTTAAGCCTTTATTGTTCATTGTGTACCAAAAGTTTCATGTTTAAGTGGTTCATAGGTTATTGAAAAGCCCTGTGTTTTCTCTGACATTTTATGAGCCTAGGCCTTGGTCAGTTAAAGGGAGACATAAAAATTACATGGGCAAAAACTTTTAGTATTATCGGTGGTTAGAATAACACTAGACAGTTGGAGCAGATTATGTCTACTATAAAGCTTAAGTCAGTTAGAGCTGTACCACCCATCGGGAAACAACGTTCCCGACTTGTTCACATAATTCATTCATGACTAAAACTTTTTGTTTATCATATCATGTCATGTACAGCATACTTGGTTAATTAGCTATAAACTTCAGGAAATAATTAGAGTAAACGTTTGACGTTTACTCATATCGTAATGAAGGGGAACACAGGTGGGGCAACCGAAATGTGCTTAACGAAAATTACAGAGTTACTCAGTAAAATAGGAAAACCATATCGTAAATCGTCAATTTGCAAAATATCAGTCCATTATATCGAACTGGACTGTTCCTGTTGCAAAACATCAATCCATTGTCTAACATTTCACTATTCATGCGTTTCATGCAAATTCCATTGTGTTCTAACTCTTCCTTTGTTGATCTTCCCCCATCTTCTGCTGCCAGACATTACGTTGACACTCACGTCATATACTACTTATAAGTAGCTCTCACCACAACATCAATAAAAGTGCCATGGAGATTTGGAGTTTCGATGGTTTGACTGTAGTCTTCTACAATGATAATGTTTATTAGGATAAAATAACTAGGAATTAATAGGTTAGATTGTTATTATTTTGCATGTTCATTAAGGAATATGAGGATATGATTCCCGGGAACAAAATACTTATCTTTCAAGGTCTGTTAGTGGAACATTAGCTTCTTATCACTTTGATGTAAACTGTCATTAAAAGACTATTAAATGACTGTCTCTGATTTCAGCCTTGGTACTAAAGCACTGGAAGTAATTAATAATTTCTCTTATCCTAGTTACTGTGTATGACATGATAAAGAAAAAAAATTACAGTACATAAAAATTTACATTACATAGATCACCTTCAGTAGAATCACATTTTCAAAACTGGATGTAAAAAAAATTGATTGTTTCAAACGTCTACATGTACCGTTTCCAGTCCACTTTTCTAACCTGGACCAAATGATTTTGGACCAACTCTCTTTCCAAGGCTGTAAAATTTGGTTGAGAACAGTGTGACTGATATCAACAACATACAGTAGTTTATATTTGTTCATAGTGTATCTTTTAAGATTATGCAATCTCAACTGTGATAGTTTGGTAGAGTTTCATGTGTGCTACAGGGTTGCTTTTTAATTCCAATGAAGATTTTGATAATATGACCAAGTAGTGGAAGTGTAAGTGATTTACGATAACAGATAACAGATATATAAAATGAACATCTGTATAGTTTGAATTTACTTAAATAAAATTCTGTATTGATTTCAATGGTTATATGAGATCATTTACTAATTCCTCCAAATAATTTTGTCATAGTACCGTATATATATATATATATATATATATATATATATATATATATATATTTGACCGAGTACCCCGGGTTTTATACATGTTTACACTAGTCTGGTAACTTGGTTTAGCGATATCCTTTGGTAAGACTTGGTCATCATCTGTTAAGAATTAGAGAAACAATGACTTAATTTAGAGTATTTAATTAGTTTATTCATACTAATTTTTTTGTTGTATAGAGAGTATTGTTATCACTATTTGTTCTCTAGGATCTCTTCAATGTCCAAGGTGATCAAGTGTCAAGTAAACACATATTAACTCCATTAGAATCAATGAAAACTACAGCAGTTGCAATTGCCCAACAAGCAAATATAGCAAAATATCAACAGAATACTAATTCTGACAGTAATGAAAGTGATATCGACTGTGAAACATCATGGAATCATTGTAATTCAACAAGTATTAAATGTTCAACAGAAGAAATGACTGCTGTTAAAAAAGTGGAAATCTTGGAGAATCCACTTCCTGATTGGTATTCAACGTGTAATATCACTCAAGAAAAGAATAATCATAAACCTATTCTAGAGAGTATAAATTTACCTAATCCATACACATCATGTATATCTACAGTTGAAAATTCGTCAACAAGTTCAAATGAATCACATTTAATTTAATTAAACTGCTTCAAGCCAATCATCAAATAGATTGATAAAATTTATGATCAATAATTAACCTAACCATTTTTTTTCCCACTATGATGTTGTTAGATGAACATTCACTTACATTATGACAATTTTTTTTAGAGCTTCTATTCATTCTTTCCCCAACCGCCCCCAACAAAAAATTAAAATACTGCAGTATCATTTGTAATTTACTTGTCTTTTTCCTTTGTTTTCATATAATTTATTTCATGTTCATTGCTATGAGATATAACCTATTTTACTTGTGTTATTGATAAAGTCAACTTGAAATATATAGAGTACCATATCTATGAATAATGTATATGTTTTTATCATCATTGAAATATAGAATTTCAAAAAAGTGACTTGATACTACTTGTTAATGCACTGTCCTTCGCATCAATTGTCTATGAATCAGATTTTAATTTTAGTGATGGAAAATTAAGACTAAAATCAATCGTTCAGCGTGTATCATTGCAACCAAATCGATGGAGAATAAGTAATTTAAAATTGCTAACTGGTCTTGAATATGACAGTAATCCTATATGATTCCAACTGTTTTAGATCCCTGCTTATTTCGGACATATCTCAGACCAATCACACTGCGTGTTTTGATTCACTTAGTGATATTGACATGTTTGATGAGAAATATTTTAGGAATGCACATCGTTCAAACACACTGTAATCAGCAATCCGTATGCGTAAACTCCAAATGGTGTGGAATCTGTGTATGTTGAATTGTGCGATGCATGGATTGATATAACGACTGTGTGGATTGATTTAGTTATTAGTTTGGCGATGTAGACTGATATTGAAATCAATTCTTGTATGAATTGATGAGTGGATTTCTAGAGTCTCAAACAGTTATTGCGACAAGAAAGACACATGCAAACATTCACTTGTGAAAATTATGCTTACAGGGAAACTTATAATTAATCACACGAGGTAGTACACATTAAAAGGACTACTACGACACAATGGAATGTCAAATAAGTGTTCCTCAAAATTTATCTCACTTAAAATACAGACCTTGTACATTAGTATACATATCCTCGTCAATATTCTTTCTCATGAAAGTTATAAATGACCAGAGATAGAAAATTAATAAACAATGATTGATAAGTAAACATTATTACAGCAATTTCTCACTTATTCTTATTTCACTCTGTTGTATATTTTGGAATTTTCGTTAAAGAAAAACTGTAAATTGTGATCTATTGTAGGCGACACGAGTGGCGAAAGTAAACGTAGACAAAAATCTAAAGGGATAGCTTGGTTTCAGTCTATATCGGTGGCCTGTTTCAATATTTGGTTTATCTTTTGCCTAACATCAAAATATTTCAGCAAGTAACGTTTTTCTCTGTGTTTTAACAGCTGGAACCTTAATGTGGTGATCCGGTTTGCCTACCGAGATGACACAAGCGAGCAATATTGGCTGGAACAACTGTTCCTGTAGGTTGATTGGAGAATGATTAGACTAAAAGCAGCAACTCAAGGTCTGAGGGTGAAGTCGTGCTGCTAACTGTGGAGTGACAACCAGCATCTTCAGAGATTCTGCCTTTTCTAAAGAAAGGGAGGACTTAGAAAAGGTCGACCCAAAAAGTGTCACACCTCACCTGACCTCATGGATTTCCGTCTGCGGCAGTAAGACCATTTGAAAAGCGGAGCTAACACTTTGCAAACTTCCCATAAGAAAGCCTTGAGTGACTGGTCCCAAGCAGTTGTCGCTTGGGCTCTGCAGTCACTCTCCCAGGTCTCTGAGACTAACACTAACCAAAATTCCTTTCCAGGCTCCTCAAGAAACACCCTTGCACGTTGTGGGAAGCCAGGAAGTGACATCCGCCCTCATGCTCGAAAAAGCACATGAGTCCAACATAGTCACAATCATATCCTTCTAACACCTCTTGATTACTCTTTTATCTCCATGACCAACTCTTCTGCCATTCCTTTACCGCCTCCTGCTGCTGATACGAATGTTTCGAGTTCACGCAACGATATTCCTGGTCTCCTGGAACTACATGTTGGAGCTTTTAATGTCCTGACCTTGTGACAAATCGGGAAAAAGGCCCCCTTTAGTAGGACGCTGGAATCTCGTACCATCGATGTATGCTGCGTTTCCGAAGCGCACGTACAGGTCCAAGGACAGTCATTCGTTTGACTTAACTCTGTCAATAATGAGAATCGTCGCGATTTACACTTCGTGTATGTGGAACCCTAATGTTGCTTCCTGTAGCCTTGCCGGTGTAAATATGGAACTGAGTTCTAAAGTAGAACCAGCTGTTGTAGGCTAGATTCCAGAAGACAGTCGCTTATACACAGAGACACTCGCTGTTGCCTCTGCCTACGCTCCCACTTACTGCAGCTCCGATGACGTTAAAGACGAGTTTTACAACCTTATTCAAAAAGCTAAGCGCTCTGACAAAGTAACAGTGGCTATTGACTTTAACGTTCCAGTAGGTAGACCAAGCGAAACTGAAAGACACCTGGGTGAGTCTTATAGTGTTGCGACTCAAATAAAAGATAATAGCAACCGTCTGCTGCCGCCTATTTCTAGCAAATACTAACTTTAGGCGCTAGGAAAAACATCCTCTGATATGACGACCCCGAACGTCACAAAATTGAACCCAACAAGTTCACACTGAAATCAGCCACCGATGGAGGGGCTCGATAGACGACTGTCACATGTTTGGATTCACATTAGGCTTCACTGTGAGCGCGTATTTCTTTTCCTGGTTGTAGCCGCCGCAATGACGTGGTAGTCGGGCTTGCCTATCCTGACTACCCAACCGAGCTATATTGGCTGAAACATATTCCTGTAGGTCCTACCATGCCAGGCAGGTCGACTGGAGAACGTTGAGACTAAAAACAGCTACCCAAGGTCTGAGGGTGAAGTCATACTGCTGACCGTGGAGAGATGTGGCAGCAGTAAGGTGTTTCTCTCGGACAACCAGCATATTCAGAGATGCTGCTTTCTATCAAGGAAGAAGGGGTTAGAAAAGGTCGACCCTAAAAATGTCACACTTCACCTTACCTTCGAACATAGCTGACACTTCTCATAAAAATGTCGTGCGTGACCGGCCTCGAGCAGTTGTCCCTTGGACTCTGCAGTCACGCTCCCAGGTCTCTAAAACCAGCGCTCATCCATCGTCCTTTTCAGGTTCTCAAGGAAACACCCTTCCACGGTGTGGGCAGCCGGGAAGTTACATCCACCCACAAACCTGTAAAAGCGCATGAGACTCAATTGGTCAAAATCAAATCCTTCCTACACCTAATATCTCTCTTATCTCCACGACTAACTCTTCTCATATTCCTTTATCACCCCGTACCGTCAATGCGAATGATGCGAGTTCCCGAAACGTTATTCCTGGTTTCCTGAAAACCCGTTCTAGACTACATGTTGGAGCTGTATTAAATAGGATAACAGGCTCCCTTAGCTTGGACTTTAGAATCTCACGCCACCGATGTCTCCCGAGTCCCCGAAAAGCGTGAAGCACACAGGATCCGAGTAGCGTCATTCATTTGACCTCATCATGTCAAAATAAAGAACCAGCTCAATTTACGCTTCGCTTATCTGGAAGTCCTGCTGCCTGCTCTGTCTGACAGTAAGGATTAGGATAGATGGGGAAAATCGTCGTTGCCTCTTTGTTGTATCTGCTTACGCCCCCACTGACTGCAGTTCGGACGATTTGAAAGATGAGTTTTACAGAAAGCTTTCGAACCTCCTCCCAAAAGTTAGGCGCTCCGATGTAGTAATAATGGCTGGCGACTTCAATGCTCAAGTAGGTAGATTAAGTGAAACGGAAAAACACCTGGATGGACCTTATGGTGTCGCGGCTCAAAGAACAATATTGGCGATCATCCACTGCAACTATGCTCAGATAATCGCCTATTTCTAGCAAACGCTAACTTTAAGCATAAGGAAAAAAATCTTATGACCTGGTGACCCCCAAAGTCGTCACAACGCTGCAGCCAACTAGATCACATTGCAATCAGCCACCGATGGAGGGGTCCGATAAAGGAATGTCACTTGTTCTGGGGCGCATGCTTAGATTAAAACCATGCCATAGTGCGAGCACGTATTTGTTTGCGACTTACCGTACGCAGGAAAGTCAACGCAAAAACACCTTTTAGGGTTCTACCTAGTGATAGCAGAGCTATGAATATATTTCAGGAACAGCTAGAGAAACAGTTAAGCGGCCATGTAAGTGATTCCAATCCGGGGGTAGCTTGGAGTGATATTCAAAGATCTGTGGAAACAGCAGCGATATCTGCTAGTAAGGTAAACAATAAGGCTATGAAGAAGCCGTGGATCTTATCAGTGATAGCTACCGAACTGATTGACGCTTGGAGACTCATCCCACCTTGCTCTGAACTTGATGAAGAGCGAAGTCAGCCTAAGCACAGGTTGATAAAAAGCCTACACAATGATCGGGAACAGTAGTGAGTGGAGAAAGCGATGGAAAAGGCAGCGGCAATAGGCAACAGTAGACAGTTGTCCCAAATTATCAAGGAAACCAGTATTAGAAATCCATCTATTAGCTAAACTATCTCGAAAAAGAATAGGCTCATGATTCATTCTCAAACCAGGAGATTGGATCGATGGGTAGAACACTTCAGGGATCACTTCAACTGGCACTCAACCACAATTCGGTTGCCCAGGATCCCCAGTCATACTGATTGACAAATGAAGTCCTCCAAGTCTTTATGAATTCGAAAAAGCAATAGGAAATCTGAAGCGAGGGAGAGCAGAAAGGCCTGATAGGCTAATCCCCTGAGATTGTTAAGGATGTAGAGCCAGTTTTAACAATTAGATTGAACGAGATCTTAGGTAGAATCTGGGAACTGGGCGTAATCTCATCCGACTGGTCTCGATAGCTGATAAGGAAGGACAAAAGTCCTCTTGTGACAATCACAGGGGAATAAGTCTAACTAATACATTATCCAAAATATTGGCCTCAGTAATACTCCGACGCTTAACGAAAGCTCCCGAAGATAAGACTAGAGAAAACCAGGCTCGTTTCCGACCTGGACGTGGATGTATAGACCAAATACTCACATTACGTCAGGTCCTAGAACGTAGACACATGTTCAGACGTCCCGCAATACTGGTATTTCTTGACCTTAAAGCGGTATTCGACTCTGTCGATAGTGCGGTTTTGTGGCAACCCGTCACTGAAAGGAGTATCAAAGAAGTACATTAACCTTACACATGCTCTCTGCTCGGAAACCATTGGTCGAATGAGAGCTTATAGCGAACTGACATCGGAACCCTTTACTTCAAGTGGTATCCACTCTTTCCGTTCTCTTTCAACTTTGTCGTGGACATGCTTTTAGAGGTAACATTAACTTCGTCTAACTTTTCAGGAGTGAACCTTCTACCTGGAGACTCGCTTGTTGATTTAGAATATGCCGATGACATAGTTCTACTTCTTAAAGACGCTAACAAAATCCAGTCTTTTGACCACTTTAAGCAGCAATGCAAACAAGTTTGGGATGCGTTTCTCCACCTCGAAACGGGTACTAGGTAAGGATGACAGATCAATAGATGAAGTAATAAATCTTCATCATTTGAGGTTGTCGGGACATTGGTTACGTATGCCCAACCGCCGGCTGCCTCGAAAAGCTATGTTTTGTGGTATAGGAGTAGGTTGGAAGAAACCTAGGAGCGGCCAAAGCATTACATGAAGTCACTGACAACTTGACTGAATGATGTTGCTAAATGTAGGATACCTCTTTGGGGTCAGCAAGATGATAGTAATCGGTAGTTAGAGACCTCGAATGACAAGGATCAAAACCGTTTGCAATGGCGCAGGTGTATTCATCCTTTTGTTCTCTCAAATCCTAATCCTTTGAATTCTTCATCACCTTTATCTTTCAATTTTTAATTGTACTTCACTAGATTATACTTCTCGAATAACATGTTTGAACCCTAATCTATCCGATTACCGCTAATACTTCTACTAGCTCTGATACTATAGGATTTGAATTGACAAATCTCTCTGTTCTAATGCGGTATGGCAGCTTGAACTGATATGCGTACATACAAAGTTCTACGCTGTAACTGACAAAGTAGCCCCATAATCTATTCAGGTGAGCCATCGCTTCACAAGGTACAATTCAGGACACCGCAGTGGCTAGCAATCTTTTGAGAAAAGAATGAACATTATTACGATGTCGATTCCTGAACTGCTATTCACTAATTGTTTTATAAAGGAAACTTATTGAAATATTTCGCACTGAGGATTACATGTTGTATTAAACATTTAAATATTTAGTGAAGCCATTACCATGAGTAATAAAAAATAATAATGAGTGAAGAAGTAAGACAGTGATTTGATCACTCGACTCTCAACGTTTTGGTTGTAAGTATGAAAACTACAACACTGTCCTCATCATTTTCAGTGGTACTGGCAATTTTCACGCAGAAGAAGAGTTATCCGGTATCAACCGCATAAATTTGTGCATAGTTATTGAATTACACCGTGAAATAATTCTGTTTATTCATTTCCAACATATACACTTATATATCCTATATGGTAAAGTAGATTCTTATTTGCTAACTTACATCACCTGTATCGTGAGATGTTCGTCTGTCGACCAATGAGTGTTGTATAGCGATCAGACCTTTATTACTCCATGGCTGTGAAACAAGGTGCTTGGAAGTTGAAGACTTCGGTAAGATGTGAGCTTTTGACCACATGTGTCTCCGAAGCATTGGCTATGTATCGTATCAGTATCACCGAACAAGCGGGTGATACTGAAGGTACTAGACAAAGCCAGAAATTCAGCTGACTAGTATGGCTAGGATGCACGTTACTTATTCTCAGATAACGTTTACCTTGACGGGTAGCGTTGGTTGGACCAGATGTATGTTTGAAGAAAGTTCAGTTCGGCTAAGCCAAGATATGTCTACGGTTCATAAGTGAACTGAATGCTCGTCGAACTGTTTTAGTAGTTGAAGATTATCTGATTAGGGTTTGCATGATAATAGATTAGAGATTTTGGGTTACATGGCTGAAAAGCGCTCGCATTGGTGTGTATGAATACACTCCTAATATTTTCGTAGATATCGAGTTCAACTATGCCTTTTTCGATATTTTTAATGCTTAATCTTTGTAATTACCACTGTCATTACACTATCTTCACTCATCTTATTGAATTCATACGTTTTTTCAATTTAGTATTACTTGTGCTTACGAACCATTGCGTTAGGCTCTATCTTACTGACTATGACGGACTGAACTTCGACCAATGTGTTATGAGTTAGAACATATTGAATCATTATTATTACTATTACTACCCTAAGTCTAAGGACGACAAAGGGATTAAGATGTAATTGCACAAAGTATTTTATCAATAGCATCGAAAATTTACATACAGATGAAAAAAAGGATGTTAAAATCGAATTTTAAAAAGTGGTGGACCTTGTGAATCTGAAACAGTTTTTCTACCAGTTAAAAATAAGGTTTCTAAGTGATCAGCAGACTGTTCTGATAATTGCATTGAATCAATGGTAGCATTTAATGGACATCTGCACATGTAAACCAATTCATTTTCACATTCGCTTTCTGTTAACATTGATCTATAAATAGACGTTTAAAATCATAAGTGTAGTTTCTATGTATGAATACAAATTTCATTTAGTAAGTAGCAAAAACTGATCATAAGACTGAAAATGTCACTTAAAAGTGAGGGTGATTTCACGCTAAATAAATATGAGGTTAAACAGCTCAAAAGAAAGTAGATAAGTGTTAGTATGGGGTAGTTGCGGTTGCTGAATTTTATCTAAATAATGGACCGATTTTAGTTAGACAACCATTGAAAACCTGGATGCGCTGGACGACCGTGACCAGTACTGGGTGTGAGGAAGACACCTGCTAAAGATAATGAAAGATGCTCATGCAACAACATGGCTTTATTGAAGTTAAACATGTACACCAGTGATGATCTAGAGGTTGGGCGTCTGAACATCAAACCAGTTGCAGATCATGCACAGGCTCTACCGAAAAGTCCCATACTAAAATGAAACGGTTGTTCAGTGCCTCCAGGTTTTCAATGGTTGTCTAACTTAGATTGGTTAGTGATTTTAATGAATGTGCATAAGTATATATATACATAAATTTACATGTTCGCATAGAACCAATATACATTAGAAAGATAGGAACGTAGATGGTGGAGAAACGTAATATTTTCCAAAAACTCAATTGAGTACCACCTTTTAGACATAAGGTGGACATAGTTTGGATTCTCACCAATAGTGTTTGAGGAAACCATGGTAGTTAGAAGACTAAAATATGACAATTGTATTAAAAGTTATTGGTTAGACTTCAAGCAGTTTGACAATACAAGTGAACAAAGAGAGTATTTTCTTATTTACACTGGTTACGATTCGGTGTCCAACTCAAAATTTCAACATACTTCGTTACGCAGTGCAGTAAAAATGACCTTAATTATTAACTCTAGAAAAGTATTTTGATCCCAACTACGTTTAGATTTTGCTTTATGAAACAAACTAATGCTCCATAGTTTTTAAATTCACATTTCTATAGTTACAATAATAACAATAATAATAAGCATACTTTATTTTATTCTCCAATTCATTGTAACAATAATCCAGAAATAAACCTGATAGATATATAACTTTTAGTTTTTCCAGCTTATAAACAGGTAACAGAATTTCATTTATAGTTTGTGCATAAATTGGTGACAGACTTGTATTGGTTAAGCATGGATTATCACTGGGAAAAAGAAATTATGAATAGGAAAAAATAATTTACATTGTTAAGGAATATATATATATATATATATATATATATGTAAAATGTAAGGCAATCGTTATTAGCAGAACTGCAGCTCAGTGGTGTCAGCTGTTGAGTAGTATCTATATATAGGGTCAAAAAGATGAGATTTTACTTTAGGATTTATTGCTGTTTCCAAACGTATTAGCTCACGGTAATTACCGACCAGGTGAACTGTTGTTACCACATGTCACAAAATACATTTGTAGAAAAAGAACGATGACGGGCAAAGATGTTATCCAACATCGAATTGAATACAATTTCAGGACGACTAATGTCCGAACATTGGGTTAGGGGCGAAACGGTCAATGAGGCACTACTTGTCAAACACTACCAGTTAACGTGAAAGTGGAAAAGTTAAGATTTTAGTAATAAAACTAGATATTTAGTAGGATTAGCCTACCGCCAATTTACTACCAGTATCAGTATAATAACATATAAGCGTCGTTTGCAAGCGTGGTACGGAGGTGAAGTCACGTTAACTAAGAAATATAAAGTAACTAAGTAAGCAGTGATATTTTGGAGGTCACTAAGCTAAACTTAGCTCCCGTAGAACTAATAGTTTCACAACAGTAAGACACTTGCAGAAAGTTAACCGCAGCTCGAATGGCCCGATGGTAACCCCATTAGCGGTATGGATGGTTGACAGGTTTGAATGTCATAAGGAATACCTGATTCCTGAAGGTTATAGATACTTTTTGTCGATAAGTAGTAACTCGTACTGAGCCTAGGTTCACGGTTATCTATTGATTTCCCCCAATCATTTAACAAATTATCTCATTGGTAGTCTATACGATTGTAAAAATGAACCATATGAATTGCAGTACAATAACGAGCGTAGTTGGGGAGTTAGTGTGTGTTAACGGGTACACTTCTTACATTCCAACAGATATAAAATGTAGATTCGGAGCTTACAATCAAATGGTTTTATATATGGAAGACATTGGTTACTCTTTTGTTATTATAATCTAAGTGTAGCTTTCTTGTAGTTTTTCTAAAAATCATACACCATTTAATTACAATTCCTCACCTTGGAGCACAATTTGAAATGGTTGAATTAGGAAATGAAATTCCAGCTGCTAAATAAGATAAAACTGTTAATCCTAACCGAATATTTACAATATTTAATAACTCCGAAGTTTTATCTATTTCTGTGCATGTGTTTGTTTTCATTTCTTGTTTCACAGGCAGTTTGTCCCAAAAAATCAGTTCTGGCATTAGTATTGGTGGTCCAGTGTAATCGAAAACCTCACATTGTGGTCGAATCTTTTATTGGGAGGAAATGAATACAGGTAAAATATATCGATTATAATAACATGGCTTTTCTCTCTTTGAAACAGTACCAACTTGCTACAAACTCTACGATCCTTTAATAATCTAACTCTTGTATTTTAGAATTACCTTATGTATGAAATAATAAAATATTTTTTTGAATAAATTTACTAGAATTAATTAAATAGTAGTATAAGAAACTATTAAATTAGCTTTCAGAAGACAGTTATTCACTGTTAAATTAAAATTGGATGGTAATCCAGTGACTGATGACTACGATTTCGAGATTTGAGTGTGTAGTAGACAAAATAAACAGTATTTGTAAGATGTGATATAACTGACAGTATACATTTGAAGTGAATCAGTTACAAATATCATAGGACTGTACACAAGGCTGATTAATTATAAGCTATCGGGCAAGCAAACACATTCATGGGCACGGAAAGACAAAATACAACGAAATCAAACACCTGAAATCGTTTACGAAACTACTATTTCAAGATGAGAAAAGTAGCCGAATTCACAAGTTTAAACTGAAGAGTTAAACGATAAATTTCAAATAATACTATACATGAAATGTTGACTACAGAATATTTAGACAGACAGACACAACGCAGAACTTCGTACATACGTACATCATTTCAGGTTGCCATGCCCCATCAGCACAGAGACGCAATTGTCAGTTCAAATCCAAGAGTGATAGCAATAATAGAAGTATTAGCAGTAATGGAGAAGATTAGGGAGCGAAGATATGATTCGAGAAGTATAATTCAGTAAGATAAATTTATAAGTGGAAAAATAGAGACGAGGAATTCACAAGGTTAGAATTTCATAGAACACAAAGAGTGGATGCACCTGTGCGATTGCAAGCAATTCTGAGCCATGTCGTTCAAGGTCTCTAACCATTGGTGACTATCGTTTCGCGGACCCCAACCAGATAGCCTACATCTTCCAACATGACTCAGTCCACTTGTCACTGACTTCATGGATTTCTGCCATGTTTTAGTTTGGCCGCCCCTAGCTTTCTTCCAATCTACTCCTACACCACAAAACATAGCTCGTCGTGGCAGTCGGTGGTTAGCCATACGTAACACAGAATATTTAAAATAAGATGAAAGTAATATAATTCGATATGGAGCTATCAACTGGCAGTATTTGCACTGAAGAAATTGGAGTTTTCTACCTTTTTTATTCACACAGGTTGAAACAATAATTTGGATAAACATAAATCAACTGACAGTACTAACATTGTACTTAGTCTCCGTGAACTATTTATAGAACGGAAATAAGTTACAACAATTAAGTATATCTGTATTTGGAAATATCGCTTTAATCTTGGTCGATCTATAAGGATTAACTGAAAGAAATTATTCTAGTTATATACCATAACAACTGAATGGGACTGCAAAAGTATGTTGGGAACATCATGGCCATGATTTAGTCAGTAACTTAGTCTAATGAATTACAAGTGCTTAGTTTTTATATCATATTTCCACAAATTCAGTGATGCTTAGTTTATGATGAGAGCTTTATGTGAGCGGAGATTAGCGATTTTATAAAAATGAAAAAATTGAAGCAAGTGGAGATGAACTTGGGCTTTTGACCGAACGGTCGAAACCTGAATGCTTTAGCCATCAAATTACATTACTATGGATGGATATAAATTGTAATGCACTGAAACTGTTTAAAGGTATCAGAGATTATCTCAATATGATGATTATATGTAGTATAGAAGATTGTGATAACCAATATTCGACATCTTATTAATGTTACGAAGACCATTTCAACTCTTATCGCAAAACATAAATCGTATGTCCAATGTGGTCAGTATTTTGAATTTTTATAAACATAATTTTTGTAACTCTATGGACTCAAAAAGTAGATAGGAAAAGAATGTTTTTCGATAAGAATATTTGAATGTTTCGTTTCATAAAACTTACCACAACATGCTCTTTGGCACTTAGATATGAAGTAATGGATTCATTTTTGGGGAATTCATTTATTTGAGTGACTGAGGAATCTGGCAACCATTCAACAAAGAAAGGACCAAGATTTTCAAGGCGTCGAGGGATACGAGTGCCTACTTCTAAGGGATTGGTGAAAGCCTTGAAAAATGATCGAAGACGTGTATGTAATGGTCCATTACGCTGAAACTGTGAACTGTTTAAATCAACTTGAAATCCTGAACAAAAAAATGAGAAGAGAGATTAGAAAGTTCGAAAACGGATTAGTAACTATGTTTGAGGTTACGTTCAGTTAAACTTTGGATAAGTATACGAGGAAAAGGATGATGTCACTGCTTTAATTATAATGAATATAAAACGATGAATGTGATCAGAAAACTTAATGTGGACATTTTCTTAAATATCCAAGTTACCACTTTTATGATAGAAATGCTAAAACTCTTTAACATTAAGGCCAAAACCGTTGTCAGTTAATTTTAATTTGGAAATATAGTATGCAAGTCAGTCAAATTATTTAAACTGGGTTTGGAGGTGTGTATAGCCTTTAAATTTAAGTAAATCAATTGAATAAAACCTTAAGGTTTATGTAATTCCAGTTTTCTGAATATGTAATAGGCGAACATAACTAGTTGACAATATGATAATATAGTACCAAGTTAACAACAGCGCTAGTTAGTCAAGCAGATGAATATACATCATTTGAAAATTCTGAAATATTGTGTATGCTCTAATTTCTATTACGTTTGTTTTAAGGAATGACTGTGGCTAACATTTCAAAAGGAATCGGTCCAAATATAATAATGAAGAATGAGACTATTGATTACTAGTTCGGGCTGCGTGGAGTGACGAACGCTCATTGAGACATTGTCAACAGCTATCAACTCTGTATTTTGTGCTTATTTACCAGCTTTTTAAATGTTAGTTTTCATCGAATGCACCGCTAGATACGGTAAGTACACTATTATTATGCTAAATGAGAAAATATATTAAAAAACACTGATCCTTAATTGCTCAAATGGAAGTAGAGACAATAGGGTTCGAATTATTAAGCTACTGATAACCATAAGATATTATAGCTTCTATAAAAATTTATTGAAATAGGCAGAAAAAAAATAATGGATCACTCAGTATAGCATCAATAGAATGTGTAATAAACTGCGTTAAAGATGCGAGAAACAGCATAAGAACTCACGATAGAAAAATCGCTTTTTTTCTTGTTTAATCTTTTTAGCAGATAATCCGAAACCAGAGTAGACAACTGGAGACATATCCAGGGTTAGAATAGCTGGAAAGTATTATAATGGTCTTTTTTTAAACAACCAGAAAATATGGGTAATTCGCCTATATCACAAGTGGATTACGTTTTTCCTCTAATATTTGAGTTAGTCAAAGCAAGGACCTTATGAACAGTACTTTTTGAAAGCAGAAGAATTTAGTAAAATTATAGTTTTTAGAATATTATAACTAGGACTAAAACAAACTGAATCCGGGTATAGGCGCGGTACACGTTCAACAGCCGTTTAATGCAAAAGGTTTGTAGACAGATACACCGTATTACGTGTAGTTTTGCTTTTGACTGTTGTCTTACAGAAATACATTGATAGAATTGTGCATTACAATCTAACACGAAAATATACTGAGAAAACAGCAGAAGTTCCGGAATTCTGACTACAACTACTTCAGTGATCTGTGTACTGAGTTTGAAAGTGAATTCCCATGTGTTGGAAAAATTTAGTGGATAGTTATAACACAAGAGAGTGAAAAAATGATCTAAGTAGTAACAAATTTGGGAACTCATAAACCCTGTTTTCATGCTAAACTTATGAAGTCTCTTATTTACTCTTTTACAATATTAACTATTATTAGACTCTTTTATAGCATTTATGTGTTTTGTATTTTCGATATTATTGGTTAAAATGGTCTGTTAGAAACCTAAAACTTTACTGATTGTTATGCTAGCTAACGATGGACGTTTGGAACTTAATCGCGTAAATTTTCATTACAGTGGGGACTGAAATTTCCACTGTGACTTGAAATGGATGCCATAATAATATCATAAACTGCTGAATCAGGATATTTATTTCTTAGTGGAAAAATATTAGCTTTCATTAAGTCTTCTGGCTAGTTTTTAACCATTTTTCTTATCATATAGAGTGCACATTATGCAAAGGTATACATAACCACTGACAAGGGAAAAGTGAACGTCAACAGAATAAATAATGTATAGGATAAAACTTACATTTTTGAATCGAAATATCAAACTCTGGCAATGGTTTCAGTGGTAGAACTGTAACAGCACCTAAAACATGATATCCCAAGACAGTAAAATATTATTCTGAAGCAAACACAAAACATATAGCCGTATCATACAGATAAAATTGTTAGACTAAGATGAGTAAACGGGAGAGTTTAGTCATAGGAGTAAATAATGTGAACTGTTAATCGCTTACATACTTACTAAATAGTGAGCAAACAATTTAAGCAGATAGCCATATTACGATTGATCGTTTACAATCAGTTTTCGCAACTTTCTGTTTTATGGCCTTTGTTTATCTACCACCTTTTACCCAACAGTTGCAATATTCACATAGATCCTTCACTAAGTTACTTTTAATGTCATGGAAATTTTGTAGAAGAAAAGGACTACTGATACCGTATTTGTGTATAGAGTTTGCATCAAGTTAGTAGAGATAGATGGACATAATATTTCAAAACGAAGTTCATAAATCAATAGATGGAATTCGCAAGCTGTTTACTGAGGTTCGCTTTCACCATTGACGAAATACTGTTTAACCAAAAATAATTTATAGTCATATCTTGACCACATAATTTAGTCAGTTAACACTCGAATAACTTATTTTAGTTCGGAGGATGGGTCATTTTATCGAATCGATAAATCTATGGGCAGCTTATTATTTGACCACCTTAATGAAGTACTCATCAGCCACTTTCCATTACCGGTTTCCTAAGCAATGGTAACGCTACAAAGTAAATAATAATAAAATAATTCCCAAAACTCTTGATATTGTCATCATGTCTCGGTAGTACCATGGCTTTTGAAATGTAAATCCACATTATTTTAAGTCTGCATTTATAAAATCCAAGTTTTCATCCAAGAGTTCACCTGCGATGTGCCGCATCTTCTTCAAAAGTAAGGCAACTAAGGGCATGTTTGTTACCAGGTGCTGACAAGATGTTTATCATTTTACCTATTCAAGCATATAAACATCAGTACAATGGGACACCAAAACATGTATGTGCCACACAAGCCATTGAATTCGTGTGGATTAGGATACTACCCGAGTGTCCCTAAATGATATCGTATGTTCAAGGGTGGGAAGAGTTCACTCTTTCCTTCGGAATGATCTCCTATGACCACTGTCACGGAAGTACTACTCAAGAAATTAGGACGAAAAGTAAGTGTCTGGCGTTTTAATTGGGTTAGTGAACACGGAGGATCCACCTTTGGGAGTTGGGAAACTCTGATTCCAAACCAATCGTACACATGAGCTTCAGAATCCTGACACAACTAATGGCATTAGAACCTACTGTTGGTCGCTGACCACCATGGGGCTGCATCTCGTCACGTTGCCCCACTGTCTTGTGGCTTGGACTTTTGGGGCGAAGGCTCCGGACGTGGTCGTCTGTTCTGGTTTGGGCATCCGAGTAGTATTAAAGCCCTCAGAGATTCGATGGCTTGCGTGGCACATAAATATTTACGTGCCCTATTTGCACTTATGTTTGTGTTTATCTAAATAATGAGAGGTAATACGATGACGATTAATATGTAAGTATTGAATAAAAATGTGGGTTTGAAAACTATAATGCTTAGACACAAGCTGACAGGCACTTTAGTAGTTAATTAAGTTCAAGGAACATTTGTTTGCTTTGACAGAAGTTATTCTTATAAGATAGTTGAAACTAGTTAGCTGATCTAAATCGGTTTCATCTGGTTGCCTTCGCATAGTCTTGTTGGTGATCGTAGTGTACAACGCACGTTGCAACACAGAACTTATGCAACAAACTTTGACTTTCCATGTGATTTTTAAATTGAAAATAAAAATCACATTAACGGACCAGTATTTTATAAACTACTAATACTACTTATTCTTTAGATCCAACATACCTCGTCGACAAAACCCTGCGATAAACTGGTCCTCCATGAGTTTGGCCAGATCCAGGTGTATGACAACATTTGAATTTTTAAATTGCCTGGCAACGGTGACTAGATTTTCTTTCGTACCTTCATGTCCTGTGACAACGATGATCTGAAAATATTACACTGACAAAAAAATGGACTGTACATTTTTCAGAAGACAAACCATGTCATGTAAGACCCAATTCTTGATTAGAAATTTGGTTGTTTTAAGAAAAAGACGTGTGAGCAGGATTAACAATGATAGTAGGCTTGGATGATGCAGAAATCTGAAATAGGAAAAGAGGATGACTTACGGTCATTTACTAAACAAACACAAGGTATAAGTTTTACTGATATATATCCGCAGGATATTCGGAGGCCCAAGCAGTGAGAATGATAACGAAGTTTTGTGTTTGAGGATCACAAGCAGCCAAAAATCTTGAGAGACTGTCTAGAGACTTGGATCGTGCTTGACCATCTAGTTTGATATCAATTTTACATCGAACCTTTATACCTAATATAAAATTCAAGTATCTCCGTTTTTTTGCACTGACAAGGCGATAGTTACACAAAGGTTTGAGAAAAATCGTGCTGTTAAGATGGAATCACGAATATCTTCCCATACTTTGAAAGGAAGCACTGTATGCCACGAGATTATTTCGGGTTGAGATGACAAATTAACAAGCTGTTTGGACAGTGGCTAGAGGACTATACTTGAAAGTTGATGACAGGTCGACTCTTGTCTAAGCAAGCGTCAATATTTTAAACTGATACGTAACTTCGGTATACTTTTCAATAATTGGTTCAATTAAAGCCTTAAATTAAAAGGTATGATAAATGCGTTTATGATTTCGGGAGGATACTCAATCTCCCGTTAGGAAAATGCAACCAAAAACCCAAAAATGTTAACTGACATTAGGAAATTTAGGGGAAACCCAGAATTCCAGCCAAAAAGTCAGATTTGGAATGGTTTTTGAGAAAACCCCAAACCCCAGTGTTTCCGGAAAGTTGTGAGATTGAGTCGGGCTAAATTCATGAGGCACTTTATCTGGACAAATTCAGACACTAGGTTTCACGGTATCCAGTGATTAAGACTACAGGAAGACCAAAGTTACTTTTAAGCGGAATATTTCAGCTTCCAAGTAATGGAATCACCAACTTATTTTCAAAATTCTCGGTTGAATTTCATCTAGTTCGGGCCAAAAGCTTGTGTCAGATATATATAGCCAACGAATTAACAAGTGAATGAAATTTCGGTGGTAAAATTCAGCTTTCGCAGTACCAAGCTACTGACTATAACACCCTATCCTGCCGAGGTCACACAGTTCAAATTACCTCGCAATACGACCTTGAGCGACCGAAATGAACAGGCGTTTTATCGTTATACATTTATATATATACGCGTCATTATAAATAGATGGACTTCTTGGTGCTCGCGTCTTATTGCTTCTGTGTGGATTTCCAATATCTAATATCTTTTCACGAGCTAGTTAAACCAATTGATATCTTTGCGCTCGATTCTTGTTCTTTCGGTACGGTTGCAGGTGTTTGGTAGTGTTCGATGAATGGGGGTCTAGCCACTTGACCGTCTAATTCTATTCAGTTGTCAGTCGGTTGTGATTTTTTATTATCTGGATTTGGATGAAAACGTTTGTTTCAGGGCAGTAGGGTTTCTGGATACCAGCAGCCATCACGTTGCCAGACCGGATGTCAGTTAGTTGCAATGTGGAGAGTAATGAGGATAATAAGGATAAAGTTCCAATGCTAATATGAATAAAATTTCAGAACTGAGTAATATTTAGATGAATTTAGTTTGTTAACTGGTAGTGAAGATTGTGAGAGAGGACCGATGAGTAAGCAAGGGTTAGGAAACAGAGGTAATAGGCAAGATAGATTAATTGAGTAATCTGAGGAGATGGTAATGATAACAACTAGCAGGTCTCAAGACATTCATCGGGCACGGCTTCTCCAAGAGGGAGATGATAATCTATATGTGAGTACATGTTTATCAAGTCTCTTCTTAAAGCTGTCCACTGAGGGGGCTGTGATCATCTCGACTGAGAGAGTATTCCAAGTTAAGACAACTCTCAATGAGTAAAAGTGTGCACGGACCTGAGCATTTGGATTTGAGTGAATGACTTTGTCTGAGGGCAGCAAGGATAGTGGATACCAAAAATTATTACATTTCGAGGTCAGAGGTTAGTTATTTGGAACGTGAAATATGATGAATGTTGAAGGAGCGATCAGACAGATGAACACATCAGATAATGAGAGGATGAAAGTGTTAGGATAAGAGAGGAAATGGAAATGATAGGATAAATTATTGATCTGAGGAAGTTGTGGTAATAATAACTCACAAGTTTGGAGACGTGAAACAGGCGCAGATGCAGCGAGCGTTAGATAGCAATTCTTATGTTCGTCAATTGCCCGGTTGAAGCTATTCACCGAGGATGCTCTGGTCATCTAGTGTGGCAGGAAAATGCAAGTAGGACTGACTCTTACTGAGGAAGTTTGGGCTTGTATCTTGGTGTTTGATTTTCAATGTGCACTTCTTCGTGGTGATGTACAGAAACGATTCTCGCGTTAGGGTGACTTGGAATGTTCATTAGAATATTTTCCATTATTAGATCACCTCTAATTTTCCTATAACCCAGAGAGAACGGCTCAAAGTTTCAAAGCTTGTCTTCGTGAGATTTATTCTTTAGCCCAATCATTCTCTCGGTTGCCTGTCTGTGCACTTGTTTAAAAGAAATTGTCTTTCAAACAGAGGTGATGTTACAACATTGGACATTCATTTTCTGCGTCGCATACGAAAGAATGTTCATAAAGTAACATGTTAACTTGTTTTACCCCTTTGTTCTTTGTCCATTCTTTCCTTGTCGTAAGGTTATTTGAAGTTCAAATGAATCCCTTTCAGCTACTCAAAGAACTCCAGGTCTTTGCACCATCTGCATAGATTTATGTCCATGAACTTATTTTGTTGAACAAGTTATTATTAAATAGCAGGAAGAGAAATTAACCGGCAGTAGTACATATTAATTAGCAAATCACCTAGAAACAGTCTGCATTTTCATAAACCATTTTCACAACACACTTTATGAAGACCTAGATGTCCAGTTTTGGTGGCGACGGATCTGTCAAACATTTCGCAGTCAGGAAGATATCCAATATATTTTTACCACCAGAAAGTGTGAGTCAACTAAAATAAAAATGAGCACTAGGAAGTCTCAGTACATGCGGCTATTACAGATGGTCCAAGTGAGATATGTTAGTCCGTATGTGAGTACGTACTTGTCAAGTCTAATCTCGAAGCCACCCAATAAAGAGGCTGTGGTCACTTTCTTTGTGAGAGCATTTCCAGGGCACGAACGTGATTGTTCTCTCTTTTTGATTTCTTGAGTTACACTGAAGATAGCGGCGGTTCTGTCGTGTCAAGATGCTCATGCTACGACCTGTTAAATATCAGATTTTGTAGAAGTGTTTGGTTTGTTGACGACGTCGATAACATCGAATATGTGGTCAATATTGATTGCTTTGCTTTCGCAGCCATCGATCGCTTTTTACAAGGATATTAGGTCGCGAACACTGGGGTGGCAACTTTTCCAAAGTATGGAACGAACGCAACTTCAAATGGGATTTTAAACTCTTTATACTATTTTCCAGACTTTGATCTGTCTAACCACATATACAACGCTGTCTTTAAAGTGTTTACTCATTTTGGTGTCATTTAAGAATAAATCCATTTATTTCCGTCAAATTTCGTTTGGTTGTGAAATATGCTTGCACTGTGGCTAGATGGGTTTTAGTCAATTAATTTTACTACTCGCCGTTCTCCACATCAGTAGCTTCAAACGCAAATAGACAAACCCCTTATAAAGACTGTACATATATGTCCTAAAATTTTAGCACTGTCTAGATAAAATCCAAATTTTAATTCATGTACTCTGATTTTAATTGAAACCAATCATTTGTTATCATGCGTTACCAAGAAGAAATTCCTCGGAAATCAAATAGCCACTGACTTTTGCAAGTGCCTTGGCTAGCATGGAAGCAAACTGAGTTTGATAGTGATGATAAGAGTTGACTGTCCACGCTCAATAAGTATCCTGCTTCCAGCACTTTTTAAAATTCTTTTTATCAGCGGGAGTGTGTCACGTACGGAAGTATAATTATATTCCGTAAAGCAAACATTACTCATAAATGTCGCGTTCACATAGGATACTTGAAACAATAATGAAAAGCTCTACATAGAATGATGATATGGTTTCAATATCCTCTGTGTTTTAATTGCTTGTTATCTTCCAAAGTTGAGTATTCACCTTCGCGTCGCAAAAGATTCCACCTGCGTTTACAGGCCGATTTGTGCCCATCGTCTTGTATTACGTCTACGCATATTTTGTGCTTGTTAACAGTTACTGTTTCTCTAGTGTCCGAAATTTTTATATCGACCATTTCTTCGATGAAGTTTCTTGTTAACCGTTTGACCCGAATGTTAATCACCAATTTGTTTGACAACTGTTGTAAGTTTCATAGTGGATTCTGAATTCAGAAATGCAGTTCTAGAAGTTTAGATAAGCGCCTTTCCCGGATATCGAAAAAAGAAAGCAATTTATGTCGATAATATTACACAGTTTTCCGTCAAAATTAACACAATGTGTTTCCGATTCTGGAAGAATGCTTCAGAAAATGCTATAGGTTCAAAATTGCACCGTTCTAGTCCAGATTTACGTTTAACCCGCCAGGGTATCGAATCCGAAATGGCTGTAGCCATAATTAACAGACAAACAACATAATACAGTTCAGCACAAGACAAAGAAACTCCAATAAATGTGCAAAAAATGGAAACTATAACAAAATGCAAATATTACCATTACGAAATGGGATTAAACAGAGTACCGAAATGAACCCCAGAAAGAGTCATTAAAAATTCATTACAAATATGTACATGGAGTGATTTTCCCAAAACAAAATTTTCAAAATGGATTCTACAAATGTCACAGTGGATTTCTGCACTTAAGTTTCTCTTATTCCGACTAATTAATTCTGTTCCATATTACTAAGTCTAAAGTGTATTTCCTACATTTATGAATGTTTTCTGTTCATAACCAGGGACGAATATCATTCTGGCATTTTGCTATAACCTTTATTTATCAGTTCATTGCTCACCCTTAGACAAATCGAATTAAGCATTTCCATTTCTTCTGGTAGAGCATCTTTCGTCCATGGATTTGAACATTCTTCCAACATTTACAGCCGAAGATTTCCAAGTTTTATTTTGATTTATATCTGTGCTTGTTTAAAAATGTATGGTTAGTATATTTTGCACTTTCGTTGTTTCTTAGGTTACCAGTTATATGCTTTTTGTGCCTTTTTTGAGTTACTGGATATCGATATTCCTCTCGATCTACTTAGATTCAGGTGTCATTGAAAAAAATGGGACTGGACTGGAATTCCTCGAATTTATTGTGTCACGATTGGGTTAAATGATAAACACGATCCCTAGTCCGGGATCCTGGTTCTCTTCTGCACTCGGCCTAGTACTTTTTGGAGATTTGTAGAATACACGATCTACTTAATATCAAGTCTTCTTTTATTCAATTGAGGTTGGGACACTCGGATTAGAGTAGCATGTCGTGTCGCCGGATCCTAGTTCCTCGCTCTCGTTTTCCGACTAAAGTAAACTGTTAATAATTCAAGCATGTCAAATTGACATATTTACGTGCATGCGTAACACTATATCAATCAGTTCTCGTCAATAACATATACAATGGTTCATACGTAAAGTGCTTCAAGGATTGAGCGTTTCTGTTTGAGTTACAATCACTGTTTTTGTAAATGATTTCGATCACGTTTCTAAAATCGTCATTGGGGAGGATTTGGGTCCGATACTATAATACTCATTAGTTTGATTTATTGGTCAATTTTCGCTAGTTCGTTTGGTAGCTTCCAGTTTCTACGGTAAAAATGATCTAAATAAAGGGTTGCTCTCTCAGTCTGAGAAGTCACTGTGTATGTGAACATATTCTGTTGCGAATGTTTGTCGTAGAAAATTAAAGAAAATCACTTAAAAACCCTTTGTACGTTGTACACAAGATGTAGTTTGGTCTAACTGAATGAACTTTGTTTCTTTAAATCTTCATTCAGACCAAATACTCGTAATGTATGTAGAAATATTTATTACTCTGGCAGTAAGCTCGAAATCCAAAAGGTGTAGGTTCACACGCATAAAAGCCTGGCAAATGCACAAAGACGTCCAAGGTAAATTTACTGTTTGACCATGAAGAAATATGGGTAGAAGTACCTCCAGATATAGGGCGACTTCTTACTGATGTATTTTCATGTCATACATGGCAGATTAAGGTTTTTGACCACCTTAGCTGAGTTGAAAAAAGTCAGTTGAGGGAAAGACATATGCTTACCAGTGGAGGGTTGAATGCTAGACATAGATAAGAACTAATACACTTGACGATAGAGTTTGGTTCACCAAGTTTAAAGAGAACACGAGCTTCTGACAGATGATGATAAACGACAGTAGTATATTCTCAACTTTGTCAGACATTCTGATTATAACACTAAGGATAGGCTGACTCCGGAAAACCCAGTAATGTTGGATCGTTCGGAAAGGAAAACGAAAGAAACTACCTTTACATTTCTTAGTGCTGTCATTATTCATAGCTATGCCTTTTTTTCATACAACTTATGCATGATTAGATTAAAGTACAAAATCTTTTGTGGTCACTGTTTCTAGATGCTACTGGAATTATTAATCCCTTATCTATTGTTATAAGCGTACTGGTACTGCAATATGAAATTTCCAAATTGATTATCTGAGTGTTGGTATGAATTTTATAGTGTTGTGAATTACTCTTTGAGTAAAGGCTGACCAAGAGCCTTCAGTTATTTGAGTCCATGAAAATTAACAGGGTCACGCTAATTGTCGAATGATCGTAAAATTGAACACTTTAAGTCGTCTGCTACTACGGACTGGTCCTCATAACACTCATCGTCTCTCATATTTGTCTTTCCAGTAATGTTTTTGGAGATTTCTGGTAGCATCATGGCCCACTTTTGTCAACTGTAATGCAAACTGAGGTAAACAAATTTTTGGATAGCTTGCATTCATACTTTTTTGAATTACAGAATATGAGGTCATTCGAATACTGAACTATAATTTCCTTCACCGATGCAGTGTTGAAGGAATCAGTTTAGGTTCTAATCGTTGACTAGGAAAACTTTGTTCAAGTGAGCCAGAATTAAAAACTATTCAGTTCACTTTGATGAAAGCCATTAATGGATTCTTTGGTGAAACTTAGGCCGGCGAAACAGGTGATAATAGTTTGTTATGACATGCTTGGGCTTAGTGACAACCATGAGCAATTTTTCAGAAACGGCTGGAAATTTGGAACCATATGGATATTATAAAAGACTTAGGAGGTTGAAGAACGGTCAGCTCATTTACTACCGACGTTTCTCTACCTACTTACCTACTTACACCTGTTACTCATAATGAAGCAAATACCATGGCCAGCATTCTCCAATTCACTATGTGCGGTGCTTTCCTTCCTAATTATGTTCTTCATTCTTCTCATGTCTGTCTTAATTTCTCGGTCCGATGTAATTTTTGGCCAGTCGTTTTTCTTCAGACCTTGAGTATCCCAAGATAGAACTGTCTTGCAATCCAGTTGGGGGCTTTCCTCTATCTGTGTGCTATCCAATTTCAGAGCTTATACTTTATTTTTCACTACTCTTTTCACAAAAAAAGCTTTTCATTAAAAAATTATGCTTTAGTGACCTCTTTCACGGAAATAGGTCTTGGTAACATTGAGGGCATGATTAGGTGATCAAAAAACTTTATCTCGAGGCAGAATTTTCCTAACTTACTGTCAGTATACAAAGTAGGTCAAAACTACTAGAAGGTCTTAGCTCGATTGTTCGAAATGGAACTACCAAATACCTGGAACCGTAACGGAAGTAAAAGAATGAAGCGCAAAGATATCAACTAGGTTGTAATAGCTGATGAAAAAAGCATCGGATATTGGAAACCTGGAAGAAAAAACTGCCTAAAGAAGTAGTGTGTTATTTAGGACTATGTCGGTAGTGATGAATTGATCTATGCTACTACAATAACAGACCCAGTAAAAAGTCGAGGACATGTCACGATATGACTACAAAATTCGTAAAATTGTATATGTAAGTCACATCTTTATCGATTTTGACTCGTCCTTTTGAGGCAGTCATTACAAATTACATTTGATAAGGTAATAGAATTATATACATTTAGATTGAATGTAGAGTGATTACATTTGAATAGACGAATTATCCTGCCATCATTATGTATTCTGACGTTGACCACTACTGACCCTACCCAAGTATTCATTGGCTAATTTGAATCTGCCCAGTAATAATACGTTAGAAACCAAGGGATGAATAATAGGGGCTAATATCACTGAAGTATTAAATTGCCAAGATTTAAGGAAGATCGTATTGTTTTTGGCAAAGTTATTTACTGTAGCTGTACACCCACATTTAAAGTCAATAAATAAATACATGATTCGGGTCCACTTCTTTTTTATCTGTGAGGCCAACTACTTTATACTGTTGTCTCTTCCTTCTTTCAATAGAATTAAATGTTTATTGAACGGCTTAAATAATTGATTTCGCTGATAAACTTTCTCATTTGGATTATTTTTAATTTTTCGCACTGTTACTTGAGTCTTCAGTCGATAACAAGTCACACACGGAACCATATAGTATAGGACTGATATGAGCTACTGGATTAATTCGCATCAGATTATATCTGAGGACTTGTAATAAGGTAAACGTGGATTAAAAGACGCGAAACAAGTCTTTAAAACAGAGATAAAATGTATTGGTAAACTATAGCGTACAACCTAGATTATCGAATGCTCCACTGTTTATTTATATTACTTATGCAATGAATATTGAAGACATTCGTTTGAACCTACCGACAACCTAACTAAAATCTATGGTTACAAAAACACAATTTTGATATTTATGTATATGCAAAGGTTATCATTTCAAGGGAGAGTTTACAAGGTATATATTATGTATTAAGTTTTAATTGTGAAGTACTAAGAGTTTCTTGACTGCCGCATACGTTTTTCTCTAATTCACTCAGAGATGCCTACTGTAAAAGAAGTTACATTTAAAATTAGTCCCAGGACATCATAAAAACAGACTACTGTTCCGTTCCTCAGAACTAAGACTTCTTTTTCCAACCGATTATTATGTTGCATTCTATCTTTCGAGACCAGAAGTTAATCATTTGATAAATCTGTAATGAAAAACATTTCTAAACGAATTGACTTAAAACTAAAAATGATAATATGTGTAACGTCAAATCCGATTGTAATAATCAACAACAGAAAAGTGGGTGAATACAGTATAACAAACTAACATTTTTGTGATTCAATTGCCATAAATATTGTTCAGTTATGTATGATATATTTTTGAAAAAACATTTTGGAATGATGAATTTTTACCATAACAAACTTTCAGGCAATGAGGGAGGATACTTACTGTGTGATTCTATCACGCCTGGGTTTTTATCACTATACTCATAGTTGTAAGTAGGATGGTTTCCAGTCGTCCTTAAATTTTCATCTCATCAAATGATTTTAGTAAGCTGAAACGCCCTTGTAGTTGGTGAATTTTAGAGTCCATTTAACAGGTTTCTCAGTCAAGTTAGAAGAAGATCCCTCACACCGCGTAATGTGAACGTTACCTTGAAGATATCTGGAAAAAGTGCTAGTAACAACAGTTTTAGAGAAATTATTGGATGATTCACTGTTATAGGTAGATAAAACATTTTAGCCTTTTGAATTGGTTTAGGAATTTTTTCCAAAGTGATTAATTTTGACCCAAAGCAATTCAAATGAGATGACTGTAATTCTATCATTCGGTGTCAAAAAGTGGAAGATTCTATTAAGCATTTTGTACTGAGGATATTTAAACCAACACAAATAAACTATGGACATATGAGTCACAAATGTAAGACGTATAATCATTATATGGAAGAGTAATGACAAAATGTCTCAAATTGGAATTATTTGTTGAGACTTGAAAAAAAGGATAAAATATATAGATAATCCATATATCGTGTTGCGATGTTTATTTGAAGAACTGTATTGTGCAGAGTAGGTTTAGGATATGATACTTTTAGAGAGACCTCTCCATTAAGTGTTTGTAAATGAACCCTACTTTGACTATGAACGTAGACAGTACACTCTTTAAATCACACGAGTTAATATATCTCATATTCTTTCGGTAAATGGATTAGAAACTTTAATAAGGAATAAACTTTTTACTAAAGAACTGGTAAAGTAAGTAGAAAACTTTCCAAGTAATGATGGGACAAAAACAACTTTGATAGTCAAAATATTTCCAACCTATAAAACTATCTGAAAATAAGAAGAAATAGACTAAACATGTGCGGATGCATGACTGATAGTGACGAAAGAGCTTTCTAGTTTAAATGATTGTATTGTATTATGTGCATTCATACTTAGATAGATAAATAAGTTAGTAGTATGAGTCTGCGTTGTCAGTAGAACCATATCTGATATATCATAGTACAGTCTGCCGTTTTATCAATTTAAGTGTCCAAGAATGAACTTAATGTGGATCTGACGGTATCAGTTGATGTAAGGTACAACCATAAAGTCTCAATGTCGTATGTAATGATGATCACAAATACCTTTCTAATGAATGGGAATTGTGTAACGACATTTACATGATGACTACATACTCCTTGTACGGTTACATTTCGAAAAACAGTACAAAAGTTAATGCAATTTTTCATCAAAATATTACATCCTTGCATATTTTTGCTTTAAAATGTAGCATGTATATTTGATTTTCCCGAATAAGCAATGGTTCTGATCATAGACAAGATATATTGTATGTACTTCTTTAATTGTGATCCATTGCCTACGGGAAAATCACTAAAGAACAGAAAGCGTTGTGCATTCGTTTTGTCCCAAGCTATTTTTCAATGAATTCTCTGAATGATGTCAGTTGGCAAATAAAAAATCTTCCAGGTTATTTTCTCGCCACTAAAACCACAGAGCACATTATCTGGAATAAATTAAATGGTTAAATCTTTGTAAACGTCTCATTTATTCTCTATCCCATTCATTCGTACCGGTATTTATATTAGCCATTTAAACTAAATGATTTTTATATAATTGGGATAAAATTTGACTGAAAAAGAGTAATTCTAAACTTTTTACTTTTCTTTTTGTGGTCATTTTTAATAAGTTTTAACAGTTTCAATGAGTTATATTTTTTTGTAAGGTTTTTCCTACGTTGTGAAGAATTTCTATGGAAACAAAAGCTAGATTTATTTAAACGGAATTAAAGTGTACAGTGTTTTATTGCTAAATGTAGTTCGCTTATAAGAGCTGTGCAAAACCAGTGAATCTAGGAAAATAAACCAGTTGCTGAACATTTGGTCATTTGTTAAAAATTTTAGGTAGTTAATGGTAATCAGGTTTTGTATTGTTTTATAATTTTGCAGCTACCTTCACATTAGACGCTGTTACTGAAAAAAGCATGGGTCAAAATAAGCAAAAGGTTTAGGTAAATTCATCAATTTTAACAAAACTTAAAGGCTTGAAACGTTTTCTTTGTTCGTTAAAATAGTGATTTCAAAGAACGTTTTATTGTGATTTCAAAGGAATTTGGCTATGATTCATTCCACCTTATTATGCTCTATTTTCAGACTTCATTGTAATATTAATAATAAACTATATATTGATGGTACACTGCATCGACTTAGTGATATTCTAATTATGTAAAATGTGTTTTTCTATCTGACTATAGTTTCACTATCCTACATTCATTTATTTCGTCTCACATATTTATTCATTTCAGAGATTGGACCTTGTACATATTCAATCTTTTCTGTTTTATTCAACCTCTGTTCCTTCATCGTTGGATAATGTTTCTTTATACCATGAAAATGGTCTACCAAAAATTATTATCCCATTACCTTCTAGACGAGAAGCATGTTCTTTTGTGCTCAAACCTTTACAACATACAGTCGGGGATTTATCAAATTTTATAAAATGTGAAGATAGTGGTGTTGATCGAATAACATTTTTCACTGAAGGTAAGACTTTCTTAGTGCTAAAAATATTATTTACTTACCATTGCAATATTATGCTCATTACATTTATTGTATTGACTTAGCTTACATTGGTAAGTTCTTTTGAATTGGTTAGCTTTAGTATCCGTTCAAATTAGTCGTTCTTACCATTTTTGTATGCACTAACATTCCATTTCTTCTAACAGTTAGACCAGTAAATAATGGAATGTTAGTCGTGAATCTGTCAATTTGATATGTAAAATTCAGTGAAACCGTCATCTTGATCTCTGTGATTTTCAATTATTCACACTTACTAATAAGTAGACTGAAAATTCCTACTTTAAATAATGGCTCATGCCCGTGCCCAGTTCACCAAAATATAGAATGAAAGTCACAAGATCTTTTGTCGAATACTTGCACTGATCATAAAATTGACTGATTCAAAGTTTTTATTGGATAATTTCAGCCTGAATTGATCTTTTCAGATTTTTTTTTTAGGCAATTAATTAGTGAAGTGCTGCTGTTACACACTTTATTAAAGCATATGTATTTTTGCCCATAAACGTGTCTGTCATATAAGAATCTCAGGAATGATTCATTTTACTGATATAATTCAGTAAGCTAACATCGAATTCGTTATATCGTAATGTCGATTCATTCGGGTGGATGACATTTCAAACTGGTTCAGTAAAATGTCGTCAGTATTAAGAACTAGAAAGTATAGTATTGACTCATGAGTATAGTAAAATGCTTAACGAAATAAAATGATCAGGACTCAGATTGAGATAGGTTCAGCGCAAATCGTAAATTATGACTGTTCTTTTGGTATACAGAAAAATAAACATAAGTTAAAAGTAATTCTTGATCGTTATTCGATTAGTCATTGTTTTCATACTAGCTGGTATTACTCTTTAGAATTATGCCAATATTCCGTGAATACCTAACCGGTGGATAAATTTTTGAGAACGTTAAGTTCTGCTGTCCGTAACGGATCTGAATTAAAGATAGTTGATTATGTAACATATTGTTCCTCCATGTTTTTCTAGGTTAACAATGCTGAAATTGAAGTACACCAAATTCATGTGTGTGATGATTAATGCTCTTATTTGACTTTCTATACTGGCTTTGAGATGATTTTTATTTTAAAAGATGATTAAAGTGCTTGAATTCGGTTTATAGTTCTTAAGTTACCTTCATTTTACTAGGTGATCAGTGCATACCAAAAAATGTATGAGTTATTTAGCCTTGATGCATTAAAAACGCTTTTGGAAACATCATATCAATCGAGAATAACATCCAAGTTAAGCTAAAATTTTATTAAGGCCAGAACAGTTTCTACATCACAACTTAAAAAATAATAACCTAATACATTGAAAAAATAAATAAAGATTCTTGTGATAAATCACTTTTAAAGGTTCTTTTGATTCTCAAGTAAGGTAGTTGTTTCATGCCAGGCATGGTTCGCGTTACAATTTTAAAATAATTATACTGTGGGTTACATTTTGTACTGTTTAACATCATTTTCATAGGCTCTCTGCATTCCAGGCTGTACTTATGAAATAGTTGTTGTGTGAATTAGTCTTGGGTACCAGTGACTGCATACAATGGTATAGATAGATAATTGGTCACTTTCGAGATTATGGGGTAGAAAGTAGAACGTAGTTTAACCCACCATGTGTTAGAGTTCTTTGTCATTTTACACTTGAAGGTCTTAAAATTAAAAATTAGTGTGATGTAGAAAAATTGTTTATTACTCTATTGTTGTACCAATCTTTTATGCATAAAATTCTCATGCGTACAAATCAGACCATGATAAACAAATCACATGATATGTCTCTTTTGTAAACCAACGATTGTATGAGAATGTAACCTATGTGAATGACTCTACTTAAAACAGGTGGTGATCTTAATTAGCATGTCAGCAATTGAGAGTTCTTTAATTTACATATTTCATGCATTTGAAAATGCCAGAGCAACCCCTAATCAGACCAACATTTACACTCTGATCTATTATAAATATGATCATGTAACTGCTGATCTTCACATAAACTATTCTGTCCTTTAGGTACTAAATATGATTCATATAATATCTGTCGTCTACCATCATTTTAAACATTAAACCATGATTATGCATATAAAGACAGTTGAAATTTAAAATCGATTTCAGTCAGTCAATAACTAACACATAGGTATTTTGTAGAGACAACCTATCAAACATTAAAAATGTTAAGTTTATATTCTTCTGGCTATTATTGTCATTCTGATAGTAGTAGTGTAATTTCATCACTGAGAGAGAGAGAAAGAAGATTATTTATGAAGTTTATGTAATTTGAATGACTGTAAATCAAACCTGCTCAATTAACAGTCAACAACCCTAAGTATAAAAAACAAAACTCATATTTTCATGTCAAAGCCAGATATGGTTATTTCATTGTAACTCATCTTTGGTTTTGTTTCGGCATTCTCTAGCGTTTCAGAGCTTAAATGTGCAAAATTTAAAGTTTTTTGTGATCTAATTCGATCTTAATTTACTAATGACTACTTTAATCCAATTACAAACCATATAGGGAACATCTTTGTAGCTTATATATGCACTGTAAAGTTATTGATTATGACCATTTTGGTCTCGTGTGCTTTTACGGGTATGAGGGCGGACTTCACTTCGCGGCTGCCCACACCGTGGAAGGGTGTTTCCTTAAGAACCTGAAAAGTAAGGTAGATGAGCGTTGGTTTTAGAGACCTGGGGGCGTGACCGCGGAGCCCAAGGGACAACTGCTTGAGGCAGGTCACGCACGGCCTTTTCATGAGTTTTTGAAGTGTTAGCTCTGTCCTTTTAGGTCTTACCGCCGGAGACGGATATCCGTAGGGTAAGGTGAAGTGTGACATTTTTAGGGCCGACCTTTTCTAACCCTTCCTTCCTTGTGAGAAGGCAGCATCGCTGCAGATGGTGGTTGTCCGAGGGAAACACCTTACTGCTGTCATACCCCTCTGCAGTCAGCAGTACGACTTCGCCCTCAGACCTTAAGTAGCTGCTTTTAGTCTCATCGCTCTCCAATCGACCTGCCTGGCATGGTAGAACCTTCAGGAACGTAAGTTCCAGCCAATATAGTTCGGTTGGGTCATCAGGATAGGCAAGCCCGACCACTACTACAAGATAGCAGATATAATCTGGTATTCTATGAAATTCTAATCTTCTGAATTCTTCATCACTTTTACCTTTCTCTTTCTAAAGTTATCTCACTGAATTATACTTGTTGATTAATATCTTCGAACCCTAATCTTCTTCATTACCAGTATTACTTATACTATCTCTACCACTATGGGATTTAAACTGATGATTGAATCTCTGGTATGGCAAACTGAAATTATGTACTTACGTTGTAACCGACTGACTGAGTGTGAAGTTATTATCTTAACAAAGTGATCCACATTGCTTCCTTGTATCAACTATTAGAGTGATGATCAGAGCAAAGGAAAAACTCTTTGAACCTGTTTACAACCTCATTTTTCCAGCCTATTATATTGTTGTCTGTGATTTGTGAAAAGCATAAGCCATATTCTCTCAGTTTCCCAATGTACAGTCTACCGAAAAGCTATCACATAATTATTCAGCAGTCTATATCTTGTAGTCTGAAATGGCTCTTGATATTGATACAGTCCCTATGAAAACCATCTCTAAATCCATCACCTTAAACCAACGGACTTGAGTGGTGAAGATATTCTGTAGGTGGTATTAATCACAGACTGATTTTGGTTATGATAGCGTTGAAAAACAAGGGGATATAGGCAGCTTTTTCGTCCTAGTATGAGTGTCTACAGAAGTGTAAACTAACAAACTCCGCCAGTGATCAACCTCAGGACCATCTTATCCACAAAACTACTTCATTAACATGTCCTCAAAAATGTAGATCACTGGGTTCGGAAACTTAATGACTGAGAATTTTAGATCTGGCAAGAATATTAGATTTTCTAGTTGATACTCCGTCTTATATAATATTTCTCATGTTTTAGTTATTCAGAGAAAGAAGAAAGCATGATTAAACTGCACAGTTTTGAATGAGGTAAAATTATCGAGAATTAGGAATCCAAGCAAACTCTGATTTATGAACCACAGAAACAAGTCAACAAGTTAAAGTTTCGAAAATAAAAGTGACATGAGTAATGAATGGTATGCTGTGAAATTGGAATTTCTGTTGTGTAGCATATCTATACAGTATAATGGTAAACATTTTACTTCATTATAGTTGTGCTTCAGATGGTATATTTGATCATAAATCAACGTTGACTAAACCATATTAAGAACCATTTAGGACTTGTATTTTTCATGATCCTGTTCCAGTCTATACCTACCAGACTTTTGTAGATAGAGCACAGAACAATCGTGCTACTATTTAGACAGCGATTTCGAGTACTGTATTTGAATTTCACTACGGCAAGCGATACGCGCTTTTGACTACACAGCAGATAGTTCTATATATATATCCATAGAGAGATAATAAGTGACTTTCTGATATTGTCTTTTACGCTGTATATTTTGTCATCCCTCTATAAAAATATCCATCAGTTTAAAAGTCTAACCGTCATTTTATGCCATTTCAAAGGTTATGATATTTTCACTGGTATAATTATTAGATATCATGGTATTAAAAACCGTTCGATATCTTTTTAACATAGTCATTATAAATTCATTATTCTTATTTGTCTTTTAATTAGTACAGCTCTTGAGATTACGTTTATTTTTACAATTAATACTTCTGAACAATGTGCGTGATGAAATCAAATCAAAATCAATCATTATTAATGATTCAAGGTTGACGTATTGATTTTGTATGGACCGAATGGAGTATTTACAATTATCGAACTTAAATATCATTTTTAAGTTGATAAATCTATATTAAAGATTAGTGTAAGACTTTTGAGTATGTCCAGTAAACAGAAACAACGTATGTTTCCTCCAATAAACCATTGGAAATAAAGGTTGTTTTCAGTTCTGATTGTTGTCAGCTAGCATTCAGTCCTAGATTATATCCCTTCATACGTTATCGTACCCAAACCCGCATTAAATGGATCCCAGGACCTTCAGGTCTGTTGGAAGTTCTGTATCGTTTTTAAACAATGAGCTGGAATCTACTTATTGACGATTTTAAATTTTAGTCAATGTAAGATGTGTGTGTGTGTGTGTCATCCACGTTATAAATGAAGTCATAAGTGCGAATTACTGAGCAGTTGAAAACTAAAAACGATTCAACAACATAAACTGATTGCTAAAAATACCAAATCTAATATTGTTTCGTGTTTAAAATCAATTTTGAAAAATACTAAGGATCCATATAATCAGCTGACTAAATAATAATATAAGAATACTTAGCAAAAGTGCTGTTTTATTTCAGATGAGCTTTTATTGACATGTTTACAACCTTAGAGAAGATTAAGTGCTTTTTGTCCAGTTGGTGTTAAAATGTACTCATTTGAAATATCTGATGTCGTCGATTAGAAGCTCACAATAAATCTCATCTTGTTGGACTTAAGGAAACATGTTGTAACGTGCCACTAAAGTGCATAAACTATCCAAGCCCTAGCCTTGTAAAATGAACTTGTATTTTGGTCAGTAGAATGAATATAGTTTGTATTCCAATCATCTCCTCACATCAATAGTTCTTTATTAACAAACAATCAACGTCATTCTACAGGAAATCGACGTAGCTCTAAGTTTCGACCATATCTAGTCTTTGAGAACTAAAGTTGTGATATGAGCAAATTGTGTTGATAGTTATCTGTCAGTCTATCTATCTGTCACTAGTTGTGGTCAGTTTTTGAAATTAGTAGAATAGTATCAATACATACAATGTAATACATCATTCATATATTCATCAGTCTGAGTTGTCATTCGGTACGTCAGCTGAGGTAAAACGTTAGTAAAGTAGAAATCAAATAAGCTAAAATTGTTATAATGGCAGCAGCATTGAGCTGAACATGAAAAAAATGGTTTTAGAGAAAAAATGGTGGAACATCTGAACTAATATTCGAATTCAAAATCTATAGGAATATAATGAATGAATGCTCCTGCATCAGTGTGGTAATTTTAAGCCATTTCAATTTGGAACAGTCCTAAATTGTGGTTATCCTATGAGCTCAAACTTTAAAGTTTGCACATCCTAGTACAACTTAGTTCAAAACTAGATCATTTTATGTGACGATAGTATACTTCGGCTTGGCGACCCCTAGGTTTTTCAATCTAATTTTATGCTAGCCAGCGCTACAAGTATGATTAATCTATGGCTTAGAATCTGAGACCTTTATCTCGATGGAAATTTAGTGCCACATTAAAGGATTTATGCATCCTGTTTAGTGCCCCATGCATAACCTTGGTATCACTAACACAGTTGTTCAATCACACTATTTGACACCGCATGTGACCAGTTATTTCAACTTGTGTATATATTTTTGACCTTCGTATACATTTTTTCACATACATCAAGTTCTACAAAACGAAATAACATACTATTTACTTTATCTATCAGACATCTCACCTCGGATGGGATAATCCATAATAACTGATCTATCAGTGATATTATTTTCAAATTCATAGATGGAACGAGGATCGCGAAATCGAATTCAATTTCTGATCTACTTGCTTCTAATTTCCATATACTTATCAATGACCAGAAGTACCATGTGGATACGTCATCAGTCTGTAAGTCTTTTTTCTATCAAATATACTAAGTTAAGCTGTTCTAGCAAAAAACCTTTAAATTGTATTTAATAGATACCCATTTTCTTCTCAAAAATTCACAACCACTGTTCAGTGATTTTTAGTTTTCAGTGTCTCTTTGACCTCACTTTAAGTGTTCATTAAAATATCGAGATGATTGTCAAGTAAGGTTGGGTAATGGTAAGACGTGGAATTCAAGACGTGCGCTTCATCTTATTAAAGACTCATCAGCTGGATGTGTCGACATTTAATTATTGATGTTTACATCTAAAACCCCACTCAGCACCTTCCTCTTCAAATGGCCGACACATTATTTACAGAGTTACTAAGTTTCAATAGTAACTGGCTTGTTTATCTGGTATGAATTCGATTTCAATATTGTTTAAATCTCCCGGTTGATATTAAGGATTTCTGGAATATAAAAAATTCAAGGATACATTTTTCACTAGATTTCAAATAGACATCTCAATAATAATTTGTTCCTCGAAAAAGTAAGGATCTTATAAAACCATTACAAATCTACACTTAATTTCACTACCATGCATCGTTAAAATGCATACTAATGTCCCCCATGTTCAAATATATTCTAGTGAATAGTTGGTGCAAGAATTGTAGTTCTAAGCTTTTTGGATCGAAATATTATTTTACTTAGTCGGAGCAGTAAATAGAGGAACACTCTCCATTCAATCTCTGTTCCAACGTCAGGTTAGACGGTCAGTATTTAATGTGATCCTAGTGTATTATACCACATTATCCCTTTTAATCATTATGTCTATGAGAATATTTGCATCAGCTGTTTTTTAACTTAATGTGGTTTGTTTTTTAACTGTTTACATTCTGATGGAATGGTAGCGAATCAATGCTTACACTATATTCTTTGTTCATTTTGTTATGTGAATAATGTTGTAATCATTTGTTTTCATTCAAAAAAAGTCGATAATTCGCCTAGATATTATGATTTTGGTTTTCGTTATTTTATTGAAGCAAAATAAATACAGATAACTGAACATTTTGATTGGCTTAGAGCAGTTATTGAACAGGTTTTGTATGTAATTCCTAACTGTCATTGATTTTCTTTCTTGTTCATATGAACCAGTAGAATAAATATGTTGGATAAATGATAGTTATAATTTAGTGAGAGGCAGTGGTTAGTTATGACAATAGGTGGGGTGTATTGCTTACCATATTAATTAGTTTATGGGAAATCAAATAATAATTGTATCGATTTCTAGGCTGTTAACATAGCATGAATCATAGTTGAAAAAAGGCCAAGTAAAAACTGGCTAATCGTTTAGATTGCAGATCGTGGTTTCCATATCTAGAATAATTCATTATCTTAACTTGCATTAAATTATACCAGTGAGTATAATTCATTTAATGTATTGTAGTATTCTATCGACGTAAACACAACAACATGCTGTTCATAACTATTCATATCAATAATTAGAATCTTCAAGTATTATTTTAAATAGCTGGGTTGTTTTCTCTCCAATCCTACTTGCAATAAATCTTTAACCTCTATTAGCGTGATTCGACATACTCAACATACCACATAGAATTGTTACTTTTTCTGCAAATTAATACACAACTAACTAAGGTATTGCTGTTATGAAACTAAAATAATAATAAAAAAAACTGTAAAAATAAAAAATTGAATAAACTTGTATTTTTTAATAGTCAAACATAGTAGGGATTCTGTACAACAGTCTAAATGAATCGTTCTCCCCAGAAAACCTGACTGTCCTGGGCGTGAAAGCACACTTTTGGAGGTTGCACGTTGAGACAAAACACATATCCAATGCTCCTTGGTTTCGAATAGGTTTTAGGTTGATTAATTTTAGTCCATGATGCAAACTCTCTTCAAAACGATAGAGTTTCTTCTATTCTCAAACTACAGTTTTAACAATTTCTAGGAAATCATTTTCCTCTTAAAAGTATAGTAAGAAAACTAAACTTTCGATTCGTCAGTACTGACTCTGAATTGATTTTTTTTAAAAGGAGGATAGGTTTCATGTAGAAGTTTGTCAATTGGTTCTGTCTTGCAATTTGAACTTTTTTTGTTTTCGAGGTCATATAGAGTAAAATATGTTGTAAGAAATGATATTCTAAAGCGTGTTTCGATTGAAATCACACCATTCACATTTTATCTACTGACTAACTTTCAAGCGTGACATGATTACTGCTTCTTTTAAACTGATATTATCAAAGTATATTGTAGGTTAAGCTAGTCAAAGATAATATCTGTGTGTATTTCAGTCAGCCTTTGCTACTATTGAACTCATGGTAGTGTGAATTTATATGAACAACCGTTCTCTGTTTGGATTAGAATGGAATTTTCATGCTATTACCTCTGCTGTTTAGGTCACATACTTTGAATCATTATTTCTAAATATCTTTCCAGCTGATTGAAGTTTTAATTCTAGTAATAATTGCATCTCTAAGTATTGTGTCGGTCAATCAAAACAACTAACTTGACCAGGCAAGTCAGTCCAATCCAATTCGGTTGATAAACTTTAATAGTTGTCCATCATAATTCTGTTTTGCATTGGGAGGTATGAAATTATTGACTCATAATTTGACCGTGTTCAGTTGAAACTACTTAAATTAGACTTGGCATTGATTTAGCACAATCAACGTGTTTTCAGTAATAGTAAGTGTAATAAATTCTGAAGTTTTATTGATATTGACTAAACCGTTTTCAAAAATGTGTGCAAAACAGTATTTCATATTCACAATGAGTTCAGTGATATTGTTCGAAACGAAAGTAAGTATATGAACTGGAATTGATAAAATCCAGGTTTGTTCTATATATCGGATGCCTTTAGGATCGTCTTACGCTGAAATCGGCCAGTAAACTAAAATACAACTGACTAGTCAGTTATAACGGTGGTACTATTTAACATAAACAAACATACAAATAATATGCATAATTTACGAAGGTATCTGGACAGTTCTGATGGTCCAGATGTGCCGTCCTATCTATTTCCAATAGATTCGGTACAATCAAATGGTCAACAGCTATGAATTTCCTGTTGAACGGAAAACGTTATTTTGTACTTCGAAGCAGGAGGCGGTCAAACAAAGCTTCTGTCAGTCAAAATAACACAGTTCTATTCATAATGAATGGATAAATTTCATCGCTACAGTGGCCAGTAACCAAACAAAATGGAAATCATCAAATATACAACTTAAGTAAAACAAAAAAACTAAGCCAGTCAGTAAAAACGACCCAAATAAAGTAATACATTTAGAAAAGCAAAATATTCAATAATTGGGAATAATAAGAATATTCTTTAGAACCAAAGGTGTTCAGCGACCTTTTAAAGGGAAACTAAGAGTTATTGTCCATTTTAGTCGATATATAGAGGGATTTTCTTACACATTTGCAAACACACATACGAAGAAGATCTTACAGTAAGTGTAATTTTTTTGAATCCAAACAACTTCTGATATAATAAAAATTGTATAAAGCTCATAATGAAGATGCTGTTTTCAGTTATTATTTATTAAGGGATTATTAAGTGTAGTAGACAGCGGATACTTTTCGAGAATTCCATGCATAATACATTTATCATAATTGATTGCCTTGTTCACTGCACATTGAATAAATTCTAATTTTATTTTACTTACAGCTTCCCAGTTTAGTGCACTACCAAAAGATGTAGCTAATGTTCGAGAATTAATCACCAAACTTGCCAGTGCCATTCATGTTGATGAATTTTATGCCCAGAAGCAACAACAACTTGAGAAATGTATAGAAGATGTTAATCTGCAATTGGAACCATTTGAAAAGGTATACTGATTCGTTTGGAAGTATTGTTTGAATTAAATAACTGCACTGAGGATAGTTTTATTAAGTAGTAGTTCATATTTGTGTATGTACAACTTTATGCTGAATAGATTAAGCTGTGTGTACACAATGTGTACTAATGTCTTAGTATTATCACTTTAGCTTTAATTCACCTCAATTGAAGTTAATTTTCAGAAATTAAAATTCTTATTAGACAAATATTAGTAATCTAAAAGTACTACATTTCAGTAAAAATACTCTTATTCCATACTTAACTCCACAATCACACCTTTCCTTCCTAAACTATCTATAGTTTGTATTCATTTTACTTATGATACTGAACTCATTTATCTGACTACTTTCGAAATTATGGAAAATTTCCTTCTCTGTTTTGACGTAAATTAAGGAAACTTGGACTGGTTCGTAGTCCACGCAGTGTCCAATGCTTATCGTCTAACTATTCAATCGCCTAAAGACCGGCTGGTCTCAGTTAAGCAACATAGTCCATGTTTCTCATCCTATCTGTCATTATCTATTTAGAAATTTTCCTATTTATTTGCTTACTTACTTTTCCTGTTACCGCTAGTGGAGCATAGGTCACTGACCAGCTTTCTCCAACCTACTCTGCCCTGGGGCTTTCTATTTCTATCCATTCGTCCTTCATTCTTCTCACTCCTATGTCCATTTCTCGGCGTAATGTGTTTTTTGGTCTTCCTCTTTTCTTTTGGCCTTAAGGATTCCAGCTAAGAGCTTGTCTTGTGACCCAGTTCGGCGATCTACTAAATGTGTGTCCTATCCACCTCCAGCGCTTCATCCTGATTTTCTTGTTTGCTGCAATCTGGTTTGTTCTTTCCGTCAGTACGTTATTGATGATAGTGTCTGGCTAACGGATCCAAAATATTTTGCGTAAAAAACTGTTAATAAATACTTATATTTTCCGGATGATGGCCTTTGTGGTTCACCAACTATACACCTCATGCAGTAGAACTGTCTTGATGTTTGTATTGAAAATTCTTATTCTGGTGTTGGTTGATAGTTGTTTTGAGTTCCAGACGTTCTTTAATTGAAGAAATTCCGCTCTTGCTTTACCAATCCATGCCTTCACATCTACATCAGATCCACCTAGTCCGTCAGTGATGCTGACCAGATTTTAAGAACTTATACATCCTACTCTCCAGCAAGTATGATTTGGTTGGTGTATTTTGTGTTTTATCAGAGGACCTTACGTTTCCTCTGTGTATGTTGAGACCTGCAAAGACTGCTGCTACACTGGTCGTCCTCTCCAGCATCTGTTGTTACGTTCTCAATAAGGGATCTAGATCACCTACGGAATCTAGATCGTCCAGCTGCATCATTGGCTGTTCATTGTATCCCGTGCTTCCCATAGATGTTGACGTCTTCATAATCCAGTAGACCACCAGAAGAAAGCCCGGACGAAGCTGCTACCTTGACGTGGTGGTCCAGCTTGCCTATCGTGATCACTCAACCGAACTATATTGGCTGGAACTTACGTTCCTGAAGGTTCTACCATGCCAGGCAGGTCGATCAGAGAGCGATGAGACTAAAAGCAGCTACTTAAGGTCTGAGGGCGAAGTCGTACTGCTGACTGCAGAGCGGTGTGACAGCAGTAAGGTGTTTCCCTCGGATAACCGGCATCTGCAGAGATGCTACCTTCTCACAAGGAAGGAAGGGTTAGGAAAGGTCGACCCTAAAAATGTCACACCTCACCCTACCTCACGGATTTCCGTCTCCTTGGGTAAGGGTGCCCACTAACGGCTTTCAAGAGCGGAGCTAACACTCAAAAAACTTCTCATAAAAAGGCCGTGCGTGACCGGCCTCAGGCAGTTGTCCCTTGGGCTCTGCGGTCACGCTCCCAGGTCTCCAAGACCAACACTAATCTATCTTCCTTTTCAGGTTCGTCAAGAAACAACCTTCCACGGTGTGGGCAGCCGGGAAGTGATAACCGCCCTCATACCCATAATAGCACACGAGACCAAATTGGTCAAAATCAAATCCTTCCTACACCCCCTAATACCTCTCTTATCTCCACAAATAACTCTTCTCACATTCATTTATCACAGTGCATAGCTAATGCAAACGATGCGGGTTCCCGAGAAGTTATTCCCGGTCTCCTTAAACCCCGTTCCAAACTACATGTCGAAGCATTTAATGCACGGACGTTGTGTCAAATAGGGCAACAGGCATCATTAGAGAGGACTTTAGAATCTCATGCCATCGATGTATGCTGCGTCTCGAGAACGCGCATACAGAATCCGAGTAGCATTATTCACTTGACCTCACCATGTCAAGATAAAGAAGCAGCTCGATTTACTCTTCGTGTATCCGGTAGCCCTGATACTGCTTCCAGGTGTATTGCTGGCGTAGGCATAGCATTGAGTCGTAGAGCTGAACAATCTCTCCTTGACTGGATCCCTATGGATAGTCGCTTGTGCGCCGTCCGACTAAACGGGACAGTAAGCCTACGCCCCACTGACTACAGTCCAGACGATGTGAAAGACGAGTTTTACAGAAAGCATTCGGGCCTCCTGCAAAAAGTTAAGCGCTCTGATATAGTTATAATGGCTGGTGACTTCAATGCTCAAGTAGGTAGACTAGGTGAAAATGAAAGACACCTAGGTGGATGTTACGGTCTCGCGGCTCAAAGAACAGACAATGGCGACCGTCTGTTGCAACTGTGCTCAGATAACCAACTATTTCTAGCAAACACTAACTTTAGGCATAAGAAAAAGCATCTGATGACCTGGAGACCCCCAAAGTCGTCTCAACATTGGACGCAACCAGATCGCATCGCAATCAGACACCAATGGATGGGTTCGACAGAGGACTGCCGCTCGTTCTGGGGCACATGTTTAGATTCAGATCATGCCTTAGTGCGAGCACGTATTTGTTTGAGGCTTGCTGGACGTAGGAAAGACACCGTGAGGAAGCCTCTTAGGGCTTTACTTGATGATAATCAAGCTAAGAAAATGTTTCAAGAGGAACTAGAAAAACAGTTAGGCGGCCATGCAAGTGATTCCCATCCGGAGTCAGGTTGGAATGATATAAAGAAGGCTGTGGAAACAGCAGTGATATCTGCTAGCAAGGTAAACCATAAGGCTAGGATGAAGCAGTGGATTTCAGTCGCATCCACCGAACTGATGGATGCACGAAAACGCATCCCACCTGACACTGAACATGATGAAGAGCGTACTCAACTTAGGCGCAGACTTATAAAAAGTCTACGTAACGACCGTGAACAGTGGTAGGTGGCGAAAGCAAAAGTGATGGAAAAGGCAGCGGCGATAGGCAACACTAGACAACTTTTCCGCCTTATCAAAGAAACCGGTATTAGGAACCCGAATGTAAGTGAGACTATCTCGGAAAAGGATGGTCTTATTATCCATTCTCAATCTAGGAGGCTGGACCGATGGGCAGAACACTTTAGGGATCAGTTCAGCGGGCCTTCAGCCACTCTTCGGTTGCCCACGATCTCCAGTCATCCTGAATGGCAAATCGATTTAAGTCCTCCCAGTCTACATGAAGTTGAGAAAGCGTTAGGAAATCTAAGGAGAGGTAGAGCGGCAGGTCCCGATAGGCTTACCCCTGAGATGTTTAAGGATGGTGGTCCAGTTTTAACGGTTAAACTGACCGAGATCTTAGGTAGAATCTGGGAACTAAACGTAATCCCATCTGACTGGTCTCAGTCGCTAGTTGTCCCAATCTACAAGAAAGGACAGAAGTCCTCTTGTGACAATCACAGGGGAATAAGTTTAGCTAATATAGTTTCTAAATTGTTAGCCTCGATTATACTTAGACGTCTAACTAGAGCTCGTGAAGAGCAGACTCGAGAAAACCAATCTGGTTTTCGACCTGGACGTGGTTGTATAGACCACATCTTCACACTACGACAGGTCCTGGAACACAGACACACATTTAGACGTCCGACAATAGTCGTGTTCCTGGACCTTAAGGCGGCATTCGACTCAGTGAATCGTGAGGTTCTGTGGCAGTGTCTGTCATTGAAAGGTGTACCAAAGAAGTACATTAACCTTATACAAGCTCTCTACTTGAAAACTACTGGTCGGCTGAGAGCATATGGCGAACTGTCATCTGAATTCTCTACGTCAAGTGGTGTCCGTCAAGGCTGTCCACTCTCTCCATTCTTGTTCAAATTGTCGTAGACATCCTCTTAGAGTTAACATTAAGCTCGTCAGATTTTTCAGGGTTTGACCTTCTACCAGGAAAGTCGCTTACTGATCTAGAATATACCGATGACATAGTTCTGTTCGGTGAAGACGCTGACAAAATGCAGAGTCTTCTGACTACCATAAGCAACAATGCGAGCATGTTCAGGATGCGGTTTTCCCCCTCGAAATGCAAAATGTTGCTTCAAGACTGGGTTGCTTCGGCACCTGAACTAGTGATAGGGAGTGAAGTAGTCGAGCGTGTTGGTCGCTTCACTTATCTGGGGAGCTTATCAGTGCTGACGGTCTGGTGACTGACGAAATCTCAGCTCGGATACAGAAAGCTCGATTGGCTTTTGCCAACCTGCGTCATTTATGGCGTAGGCGTGATATCCGTTCGCTAACCAAAGGACGGGTGTACTGCGCAACAGTTCGCTGCGTTCTCCTATATGGATGTGAAACATGGCCGTTAAGAGTAGAAGATGCTCGTAGGTTACTGGTTTTCGATCATATATGTTTTAGAAGCATTGCTCGTATATCGTGGGACAACCGAGTAAGCAATGCTGTCGTTAGGAAACGAGTACTAGGTAAGGATGGCAGATCAATCGATGAAGTATTGAAACTTCATCAGTTGAGGTGGTTGGGACATGTGTTACGTATGGCTAACCACTGACTGCCTCGACGAGCTATGTTTTGTGGTGTAGGAGTAGGTTGGAAGAAAGCTATTGGCGTCCAGACCAAAACATGGCAGAAATCCATGAAGTCACTGACAAGTGGACTGAGTCATGTTGGTAGATGTAGACTACCTGGTTGGGGTCC